AGATGCGTTTCCAAGTCAGGGTCTGGGTTGGCTTTCTTTTGAGTGCCCCCCCCCTTGAGCTCTGTTTCGACAGATCCGATCCAATTTTAGATCCGAGTTCCTGTGTGAACATATTCCATCTGCCCTACCTGCGAGCAAAGCTGGGTTTCCCCGAAAGGGGAGCTGTGGGGGCGATCAGGGCTTGCGACTCTCCCTTTCCTTTCCTCTCTCTTGTGTGCCAAAACTAGATCTTTGTGTGGGCAGAAGGAATTTGCGAGGAACCTTGCCAATCTCTCGGAGCTCTCTTCCCAGCTTTGGAGTTCTGGTGGTGGTTGAGGGAGTGGTGTCCGAGGGCTACAGCTCAGAGCCAGGGAGACATTCTCTTGTTTGTCTCCAGATCTCCCCAAGTGCAGATGAAGCGTTGGGAAAATTTTGTAATGTGCGAAAGGGGTATGTCATAGAGTTGGAATGGACCATGTGTGTGTGTGCATGCGTGCGTTGGGATTTTGGGAAGCTGGACTCCTGGATTCTGTCCACCGATCCTTTGTTCTCTTTCGTGTGCCTCAGTTTCCACTTCCCTAAAATGGGTGCAGCCACCTGCCCCACCCAGATCCGAAATTTTATTTATAGAAATATTTATATATATTATAAAATATTTATTTGCAGTGGTACCTCGGGTTACATACGCTTCAGGTTACATACTCTTCAGGTTACAGACTCCACTAACCCAGAAATAGTGCTTCAGGTTAAGAACTTTGCGTCAGGATGAGAACAGAAATCGTGCTCAAAGCGGCGCAGCAGCAGCAGCAGCAGGAGGCCCCATTAGCTAAAGTGGTGCTTCAGGTTAAGAACAGTTTCAGGTTAAGTACAGACCTCTGGAACGAATTAAGTACTTAACCCGAGGTACCACTGTATTTGCAAAAATAAATCAGATAAATAAATAAATAAATAATATAAATCAGAGTGGTTTACAACAAATGTACATAGAAGCCGTACAATAAAAGCAATATTTTTAAAAAGTTAAAATCGGGAATCAGCTAAGCGTTGTGGGAAAATGTATCCTTTTTGGATGAAGTTATTATTATTATTGTTGTTGTTGTTATTAATAATAATAATAATAATAATAATAATAATAATAATAATATTATAATATTTGTAAAAAGGTAAAGGTAAAGGTACCCCTGCCCATACGGGCCAGTCTTGACAGACTCTAGGGTTGTGCGCCCATCTCACTCAAGAGGCCGGGGGCCAGCGCTGTCCGGAGACACTTCCGGGTCACGTGGCCAGCGTGACGTCGCTGCATCTGGTGAGCCAGCGCAGCACATGGAAACGCCGTTTACCTTCCCGCTAGTAAGCGGTCCCTATTTATCTACTTGCACCCGGGAGTGCTTTCGAACTGCTAGGTTGGCAGGCGCTGGGACTGAGCAACGGGAGCGCACCCCGCCGCGGGGATTCGATAGGCAAGCCCTAGGCGCTGAGGCTTTTACCCACAGCGCCACCCGCGTCCCCATAATATTTGTACATAGCCCTTTATCCAAAGAGTCCTGGTAGTTGTATTTTGTTAAGGGCTTTTTTTGGGGGGGGGTAAAATTGTTGTTGTTGTTAATCCGTAGATCTCATGGTGATTCACACATAAAACCACCATACATTCCTAATGAACTGCATATGAACTGGAGGGGTTGCATTTACTTCAAAGTGAAAGCGTGTTTACTGCTCAACCCTGCTTTAGTAATTACCATTTCATTTTATAACGATGGATGGAAATTAAAAGATGAAAAACGAAACTGTCAAATAGCCACGAGGAATGAGTACTTTGTGCGCGAGTTAAAATAATAACAAAGTCCAAGTAAAGACGATTGACGTTATCAGATCATCCAAGTCTAGTTCCAGATTCACCAGGCTTTGATGGGAGCTGTCTTGAAAATGATGGTACTGCTGTATATTAAATAAAGGGGTGAAAATTCATTCTCTAAATTGCCTGCATAGGCCTGGGTGGGATGGAAGAGTTTTCAGCTGGTGTTCAAAAGTTGAAACAGAAGATGCTTGCTGAATCTCTAGTGGCAGAGAGTTCCATAGGACCGGGCTGGCGACACTAAAGGCTTGGGTTGTTTTTTTTGTCAATGTCAAATAAGCCTCACAAAATCGGGAAACAACGAACGATGTTCCTGCAGTTGATCTCAGTGATCGAGCTGGGATTTGAGGGTGCAGGGCTTGGTAAATTACTACAAGGACATTGAACCTGGTATTTCCTTTATTTTAGGGTTGCCATATTTGAAAAAATGAAAATCGGAACACAAAATTGTTGAACTTCCTTCTTGGCCAAAGCTCTTGAGTTTATTTTTTGCAAAGAAGAAGAAGTTTAAAAGCTATTTTTAAGGAAAATTGCCAAAAAAAATGTACACCTCCAATATGGTCAGGTTTCCCCGGACGTTTAAAACGATTTACAAAATCGAGTATAGGGCGGTATATATAAATTCAATAATTAATAATAATAATAATAATAAAATTCCTCCCCGACGCCATTTTTGATGGGCGAATCCTGGCTAATTCCAGACGTATGGCAGCCCTGCTTTATTTCCTGGTATGTGGAGCCGGCCCTACTATTAGGCAAAATGAGGCCACTGCCTCAGGCGGCAAAATGCTTGGGGCGTGGGGAGTAACAGGCCCCTCTGTTGGAGGACTGAGCGTGCTGCTGCCCTGCCCCTAAATTTGCGCCTCAGGTGTTATGGAGCATGCGGTCCTTTCACCAGTGTTGGATTAAGATTAAGAAGCCCAGTTGGCTTCTGTATGTGGAATGGGGTAGACGTTGGGGCCGCCATCTTGTCATTCACCTTTGTTGCAGGAATTTATGTATAGGTTGGGGGCGGGTTGCCCCTCCAGCAGATATCATGCACATGCAGCCCACTAGCAAAACCAGCACAATCACTTCATCACATTTTCTTCCTATCTATTCCAAGGGCCTTTGCTGCACGATACCAAATGTAAGAATTCACTGATAAATGCATCTATGTACAGGCTCCCTGGGAAAACTTCAGAAATTCATATAGACATGTGAGCTCAGCTACTCAGCAGCCCCTCTGCCTGAGTGATAATCCCTGGCATCCTGATACCTGAGTGCCAGACAGGTAGCCCTTCCAGAAACACCAAACCCAGATGAAGACAAAAGGGTGGGATTAATTTGGCTGGGAAACAGGGAAATGTAAATATCTTTTGTTACACTTGATGGGTGTTTGGTGGAGGGCAAGGAGAACCATGGGGCAGGGTCCAGGATGCTCAGATTACGGCCACCAGACCTCCCCTTTCATGATGTAACCGTGATGTATGAGTGATGTAGTTTGGGGGGTGTAACATGGGGATGAACAGCTAATAAAAGTTTGGGGGCTCTTTTGTTTGGCGCTTCCATCTTGTTCCACCTGGTGGCAGGTGGGAGTCCTGTTGCGACACTCTTCAATAAAAACCAAGCCTACTGGCTGCTGTTTTGCTCTGGTATTCCTGGCTGGTGTCCTTGTTTTATGTCCAAGGGAGCCCTCAGATTTCTCTGTTAACACCTTGTTCAGCAAAAGGTCTTTGGCTGGGCCTACTGGGATGGCTGCTGGAGAGAGAGACCCTTCCCCACCCTCTTCGCAGCTTCTGGGAAATGGGGCACGCCAGTACCGTGCCCCATTCATTTAAAGCACTGCGATAGCACTCAAAACCATCATGGTCCCCCCCAAGGAATTCTGGGAGCTGTAGTTTGTGAAGGGTGCTGAGGGAGTGGTTTTACAATCCATCTCTCTTCTCAGGGAATTTTGGGAAGCTGTGAGGGGAATCACAAAGAGTCGGACACAATTAAATGACTAAACAACAAGTGAGGGGAATTAGAGGTGTCCTAATGACTCTTAGGGGACGCGGGTGGCGCTGTGGGTTAAACCACAGAGCCTAGGACTTGCCAATCAGAAGGTTGGCGGTTCAAATCCCTGCGACGGGGTGAGCTCCCGTTGCTCAGTCCCTGCTCCTGCCAACCTAGCAGTTCAAAAGCACATCAGAGTGCAAGTAGATAAATAGGTACCACTCCGGCGGGAAGGTAAACGGCGTTTCCATGTGCTGCTCTGGTTCGCCAGAAGCGGCTTAGTCATGCTGGCCACATGACCCGGAAGCTGTACGCCAGCTCCCTCGGCCAGTAAAGCGAGATGTGCGCCGCAACCCCAGAGTCGGCCACGACTGGACCTAATGGTCAGGGGTCCTTTACCTTGACCTAATGACTCTCAGCACCTTTTTTAAAAAAATATAAAATATAGATTTATTGATTTCCATTGTATAACAACAATTAAAAAGCAAAAAAAGGAGCAAAAATACAGAAGCAAAATCCCATTTTATCCCCTTCCGGGATGGATCAGTCTACAGTGGTACCTCTGGTTAAGTACTTAATTTGTTCCGGAGGTCCGTACTTAACCTGAAACTGTTCTTAACCTGAATCACCACTTTAGCTAATGGGGCCTCCTGCTGCTGCCGTGCTGCCGGAGTATGATTTCTGTTCTCATCCTGAAGCAAAGTTCTTAACCTGAGATACTATTTCTGGGTTAGCGGAGTTTGTAACCTGAAGCATATGTAACCCGAGGTACCACTGTATTTACGGTAAGTTTGCTGAACTCCAATCTGTGATTCGGTAGTTTCCATTCTTCAGTAAAATGTTTTATAAAAGGAGGCTATATTTCATCAGAATCATTTCCAGCGTTTGCATTATTCAACGCATGCAATCGCTTTGCCAGTTTTTCCTGATTCAGCTGTTGACCATTACATTCTGTTTCCAATGCGAAAATCAGAATGCTTTCCATTTCTGTGCCACTGGTTGGCATGTTCCTACAAAATTTAAAATAATTAGTCCTTTATAGCAAAGGTCAGATCGCCCTTAACAAACTACAACTCCTAGGATTCTTTGGGCTGGGGGAAGCCATGGCTGTTTAAATTGGGATCATGGTGCTTTATATGTATGGTGTCCCAGGATGAAAATCTCCCGTAACCAAATGCCTTGTTCCTTCTAGCGCTCGTACTCTCTGGTTCTGGAGGCCTGGGATGCCGCCAACGCTTCTGACGTCACCAGCCAAGGTAAGGAGCTGCTCTCTCACCTGGGGGAGCCAGCAGGGTGGGGTTCCAGACAGGGACACGGTTAGGATTTTGAGACCCTCCATGTTCAGAGCCATAGCTGTCAAGCGTCCCTTATTTGGCGGGACAGTCCTTTATCCCAGCGCCATGTCCCGCTGCTGTCCCTTATTGGTGATGTCCCTTAAATAAGCTACTGAAGGTAATGGGGCCCTTTCTGTGTCCAACTGTCCTTTGTCAATAACAAATTGTTGCTGTTTTTTGTGTTGAATATGTGCTATATGGTAATTTATGGACCTAATAGGTATCTAAAGCCATTTGCATGCAACAAAATCTGTATTTTATCAAAGTAATTGTTGATCCCTTATTTTGGCTGCTGATCCCTTATTTTCGAGGCTGCTGGTCCCTTATTTTCAAATCTGTAAGTTGACAGCTATGTTCAGAGCAGTCTACCCCTGAATATCAGTTGCAGCAAAGGAGGTCTCTTGCCTTCAAACCCTGCTTGCTTGTGGGTTTCCCAGGGCTACCTCACTGCCCATGATGGAGGTCTAGGTGAACTGCCTTTCATCTGATCCAGTAGAGCTCCTTAGCTGTCATAATAATAATAATAATAATAATTTTTTATTTATTTCCCTCCCTTCTCAGTTCAGAAAACCGGGCTCAGGGCGGCTAACAACAAATTCAAAACACTTAGTTGATGCAACAAAAAACAGCATAAAATACAGTATAAAACGGGAATAACAATAAATTCAGAATTCAAAAATCAATTTAGGGGGGAAATCCATCCAATAAACATTAGATGATCACCAGGGCTAGCTGGCTAAATTAGTCCTATTTGGGCCAGCGAGGAGACCAGGGGAGAATTAGCTGTGGGATCCCAGAGCAGGTAATCTTCATAAAAAGGGGAGGGGAGGGAAGGAAGGGGAATAAAAGATCAGGCTAAGTTCAGATTGAAAGCCAGGCGGAATAGCTCTGTTTTACAGGCCCTGCGGAAGGAAGTTAAATCCTGCCAGGCCCTGGTCTCATGGGACAGAGCATTCCACCAGGTCGGAGCCATCACTGAGAAGGCCCTGGCCCTGATAGAGGATAATCCACCAATGTGGTGCAGGCACAGAGGCAAGGAAGCTTCTGCAAAACCGGATGAATATAGTTTCGGGTTCCTTTAATGCGTTTGCCACTCCGCAAATGACTCACGGGCAGGCTGCCACATGGACCTTATTGTGGACTGGTAACTTGTGCGGGCCCATTTGCAGCACCGTCCAGGTGCGGGAGTGTAGCAGGGTGGTAAATCTCCTGCTTTGTGTGGAAAAGGTCCTGATTTTTATCCCCGGCAGCCGCTCCAGGTAGGGATGCGAATGCCCCCTGTTTGGCAGCTTGGAGAGCCACTGTCGATCAGTGCAGAGCGTATTGCCCTACTCGCTCTACGTGGGGCTGCCCTTGAGACTGACCCAGAAACTCTAGCGGGTGCAGAATGCTGCGGCGAGACTCCTTACGGGGTCCTCGCTGCGAGATCACATTCACCCAGTGCTATAGCAGCTGCACTGGCTCCCGGTGGAGTACAGGATCAGGTTTAAGGTGCTGGTTTTAACCTTTAAAGCCCTACGTGGCCTAGGACCCTCGTACCTACGGGACCGCCTCTCCTGGTATGTCCCACAAAGGAACTTACGGTCTTCAAATAAAAACATCCTGAAGGTCCCAGGCCACAGAGAGGTTAGGCTGGCCTCAACCAGAGCCAGGGCTTTTTCGGCTGTGGCCCCGATCTGGTGGAACACTCTGTCACAAGAGACTAGGGCCCTGCGGGATTTGACATCTTTCCGGAGGACCTGCAAGACAGAGCTGTTCCACCAGGCCTTTGGTCAGGACGCAGCCTGACTCCCTCCTTTGGCAATCTTTACAGAACTTAAGCTTAATGGTTGCCATCAATTGGATTTTAATTAATTTTTATAATGAAATGTTTTTAGAATGTTGCACTGTTTTATTGTTGTTAGCTGCCCTGAGCCTGGCTTCGGCTGGGGAGGGCGGGATATAAATAAAATTTATTATTATTATTATTATTATTATTATTATTATTAAGCTTGGTGGACCAGCTGCCCTACTGGCTGCAAGTTAGCTTCCTCTCTTCTGATGCACCCAGGCAGTTTTGGGTCCTCCACCTCTGCCTCTGTCTTTGGAAATTTGCTGGGTGATGCAGTGAGTCTCCTCTCCCGCCCCCCTGCCTTTCTCGCCTTCTCTTTCCAGGCGGAGGGCAGCTGATGGAGCGGGTGACCCGTTCGGGAATGCTGAACCCTGGAGAAGGCTGGCAGGACCTGTGGCATCACGGGCGCAGCACCTCGCTGGAGTACCGTGTGCGGGTGCGCTGCCAAGAGCATTACTACGGCCCGGCCTGCAACTTCCTGTGCCGCCCCCGCGATGATTTCTTCGGGCACCACAGCTGCGACGCTGCGGGCAACAAGGTCTGTCTGGACGGCTGGACGGGAGACGAATGTAAACGGGGTATGTCCCGGGACGTCCGGCTGGCGAGGGGCGGAGGAGAGGAAGAAGGGGCTGCATTGGACCGGGGGAGGGCGGGGAGAGAACCCAGGAGTCAAAGGTAGCCCACATAGAGTGCATTGAAGTAGTCCAAGCGAGAGATAACCAGAGCATGCACCACTCTGGCAAGACAGTCTGCGGGCAGGTAGGGTCTCAGCCTGCGTACCAGATGGAGCTGGGAGACAGCTGCCCTGGACGCAGAATTGACCTTTGCCTCCATGGACAGCTGTGAGTCCAGAATGACTCCCAGGCTGCGCACCTGGTCCTTCAGGGGCACAGTTACCCCATTCAGGACCACGGAGTCCTCCACACCTGCCCGCCTCCTGTCCCCCCAAAACACTACTTCTGTCTTGTCAGGATTCAACCTCAATCTGTTAGCCACCATCCATCCTCCAACCGCCTCCAGGCACTCACACAGGACCTTCACCGCCTTCACTGGTTCTGATTTAAAAGAGAGGTAGAGCTGGGTATCATCCGCATACTGATGAACACCCAGCCCAAACCCCCTGATGATCTCTCCCAGAGGCTGCATGTAGATGTTGAAAAGCATGGGGGAGAGGACAGAACCCTGAGGCATCCACAAGTGAGAGCCCAGGGGTCTGAACACTCACCCCCAACACCACTTTCTCAACATGGCCCAGGAGGAAGGAGCAGAACCACTGGAACCACTGTATGACAGTGCCTCCAGGTCCCAGCCCCTCTAGACTGTTCAGAAGGATGTTATGGTCGATGGTGTCAAAAGCCGCTGAGAGATCCAGCAGAACTAGGAAACAGTTTCATACATTACATTGATGTTCCCACTTGTGTAGTGGCAAATTCAGAAGTGAAGGGTCCCATAGCCCCTCACAGCAACGTCCCTTCTAAGATTAGACAGCTTTTTCAGACTGTACAATACAGTTATGCAATAATAATAACTAGAAACACCTTTCAACCAGCGTTCAAAACTCCCATTGTTCTAGGCGCATTTTGCGACAGGGAATTTAATGAGCGCAAGCGGTTTCTGAGCTCTGGGCTCAGCAGTGTGCCTAAGATCTCAAATTAAAACTGCAAAGTGGAAGTAAAGGAGGACCTTTTTCTGCCTCCCCACTTCCAGCTACTCTCTGAAGACTGGAGAGGAGACCCTCTTAAGCATATTAGGGGGGTGGGCAGGGGAATGACTACTAGACCATGTGAAAAATGAACATAATGTTTCAGCTGCAGTTCATTCATTTCCAGCACTGTATTCCTGTTATTAAAAAAGCGCATCTAGACATTCCGTTGTGCCCATAACCTAGGTTTAAGGTGCCATTTAGCTCCTAGCTTTCGGGTGGCACTGTGGGTTAAACTACAGAGCCTAGGACTTGCCGATCAGAAGGTCGGCAGTTCGAATCCCAGCGACGGGGTGAGCTCCCGTTGCTCGGTCCCTGCTCCTGCCAACCTAGCAGTTCGAAAGCATGTCCAAGTGCAAGTAGATAAATAGGTACCGCTCTGGCGGGAAGGTAAACGGCGTTTCCGTGCACTGCTCTGGTTCGCCAGAAGCGGCTTAGTCATGCTGGCCACATGACCCAGAAGCTGTACGCCGGCTCCCTCGGCCTATAGAGTGAGATGAGCGCCGCCACCCCAGTCATCCGCGACTGGACCTAATGGTCAGGGGTCCCTTTACCTTTACCTTCATATCTCAGTTTCAAACACTGCTAGCAATGATCAGTTCCAGCTAGTTCTACTGTTTTCTTTGTATGTACTTGGCCAGGTGATTTGGAGTGCTCAGATATCTTCTTTCCAAGTGACCTAAGCTGTGTTTGCTGTGAAGTTTCATTGTTATCTAATAGAACCTGTCTCTTGAAACAGAAGCACCTTGCGTTTCAGTGCTCCTAAATGCATACCTTTGGAGCAGACCTCTGGGAAATTTGACTTCTTGTTTTGACCTATAAAGCCTTGTGCAGCTCAGGACCCCAATACCTCAAGGACCCCAATGCCTCTCTCCATAGGAACTGTCCTAGACCCTGCGATTATCATCTGAGGCCCTTTTTCATGAGAAGTCCGGAGGGTGGTACCACCGGAAAGGGCCTTTTCCGTGGTGGCTCCCCGCTTGTGGAAAGCTCTCTCTCTCACAGAGACTCACATGGCGTCATCAGTGTGCCAGGCAAAATCACTTCTTTTCTGCCAGGCCTGTGGCTTTTAATTATCTGGATTGTCTTTTAGATTTATAAATTTATTAGATCGTAATGGTGGTGATTATCATCGCTCTGCCCTGGGCTGAATTTCCAACGCTCACATAAACTCCCCTCGTGTTTCTTGCAGCCATTTGCCGGCCGGGTTGTCACGAAACGCACGGGACCTGTGAGGAGCCTGGAGAATGCAGGTATGTACAGCTGAGTGTGGATGAATGGCGCAGCTTACCAGAAAAATAAGAAATCGAGATAGCAAACTTTTTATTAAAAAAAATAATGGAAATGGTTTATTGAATATTTGCAGTCAAATTGTACTTGGCAGGATTATTGTACTAACCTGCAGTTTCGCAAGAGTATATATTTAAAGGAGATGAATAAATGAATTGAGTTAATTTGGATATGCAGAAGATATTTAAAATAAATGTAAGGAACCGCAGAAAGAGGGGGAAGGAAGTCAAGTTTTGAAATGTTAAAAGGACTGTAAAATTACTGAAATGTATAAACCTGAAAATCGTAAATAAGAAAAATTTAAAAAGTGGTCTACAGATGAAGGGCGGTATAGAAATTTAATAAAAAATAATAATACAAATCCTGCGTTGTAGATCGTATTGGCCACAAACCAAAAACAACAATTCAGCTGGGGAAGGAGTGATTAAAAAGAGAGGCTTTCAAAAGCACAGTACAGGAGGTGCCTGTCTCACGGGGACAGAGTTCTCTAATGTGGGTGACACCACAATGAAGGCCCTGCTCCCACTGGCTACGTGGCCCTGCCAGGCTGGCCCCCTCAGCTGAGCTCAGGCACCAGGTGGGGCTATTGAGGAGAGGGCAAGGTGGTCTCTTAAAATAACCTGGTCCTGTGTTGTTTAGTGCTTTATAGACGAAAGAGAAGACTTTAGACTTGGCCCATTAGGACAGGGGCAGCCCGTGCCGTTCCTTTCAAAAACGGCTACCTATGAATTTAAGTTGTCAGTCCCTTCAGGATTTCCCACGTTTCTGGACACAACACTACGATCCCACTTTAAACAGTCACGCCTTCCTTCCCCCAAATAATTTTGGGAGTTGTAGTTTGATAAGGGTGCTGAGAATTGCCGGGAGACCCCTATTCCCTTCACTGAGCTATGGTTCCCAGGGTGGTTCAACACACCCTGGGAACAGTAGTAGCAATGGCTTCCCCCTTCCAAAGAATTATGGGAGTTGTAGTTTGTCAAGGGCGCTGAGTGTTGCCAGGAGGCCCCAATTCCCGTCACGGACCCACGGCTCCCAGAGTGGTTTAAACACCAACCAATAATAACCCCTCTTTCCCAGAGAACTCTGGGAATTGTGGCACTGTGAGAGGAATAGAGGGGGTCTGCTAACATGTCTCAGCACCCTTAACCAACTACACTTCCCAGCATTCTTTGGGAGAAACCATGTGTGTTTAAAGTGGTATCATAGTGCTTTAAATGTGCCGTGTGGATGTAGCCTGTTGAAATCAGGGGCTAAGCAGTTGGCTCCTTACCTCTCTCGCCCTGACCTAGCCACTGTGATCCATGCGACGGTCACCTCCAGGCTTGATTATTGTAACTCGTTCTACGTGGGGCTGCCCTTGAGACTGACCCAGAAACTCCAGCGGGTGCAGAATGCCGCGGCGAGACTCCTTACGGGGTCCTCGCTGCGAGATCACATTCATTCCAGTGCTATTCCAGCTGCACTGGCTCCCGGTGGAGTACAGGATCAGGTTTAAGGTGCTGGTTTTAACCTTTAAAGCCCTCTACGGCCTAGGACCCTCGTACCTACGGGACCGCCTCTCCTGGTATGTCGCATGGAGGACCTTACGGTCTTCAAGCAAAAACACCTTGGAGGACCCGGGCCACAGGGCTTTTTCGGCTGTGGCCCCGATCTGGTGGAACGCTCTGTCACAAGAGACTAGGGCCCTGCCGGTCTTGACATCTTTCCGCAGGGCCTGCAAGACAGAGCTGTTCCACCAGGCCTTTGGCCATTAATTTGATTTAAACTGATTTTATAATGAATTGATTTTAGAATGCTGTATTATTTTACTGCTGTTAGCCGCTCTGAGCCCGGCTTTGGCTGGGGAGGGCGGGATATAAATAACATTTTATTCTTATTATTATTTATTATTACTTTCAGTGGGTTTTCTCTGCGTGAAATTGGATTGCACAGCCCTGCGAGGTGCATAATGTTTGGGAACTGGGCTACCCCTCCCCCTTTCTCTGCTTCCCAAATTCTCCCCTCGCCCCCAAGGAGCCGATTTCCTGGCCAGCCCCGGCAAGTGGAAGCCCGGCAGCTCCTCTCCAACACCGGGGCAATGGCCTAGGGCAGGAAACAGCCAGCCAAGCCCCGCTGGGAGGAGAAGGAAGTTCTGGGTCCCGGCCAGGAAAAATGATGTCACCCTTGGATCCCAGGGCCGATAAGGATGGGGTGCGGCACCGATTGCGGTTACGAGGAGGCCCAGCCCCTGACTGGGAAGCCTGGGCAGGGGCCAGGATCTTGACCGGCCGCCCAGCGCGATGGCCCCGGTGGGGCAAGAAGGCTTTTTTGGCAAGCTGGGGGGGGAAGCCAAGCCGAGCGACGGCTGCGTCAAAGGGCTAAATGGGGTTTCCGTGGAACGCAGAAAGTTCCCGATGCCACATTTACACATAGCTGTCAACGTTTCCCTTTTTTAAGGGAAATTCCCTTATTCCGAATAGGATTCCTCGCAAGAAAAGGGAAACGTTGACAGCTATGCATTTATTTGCAGCATCCGTTTCCAAGCGCTGTGACCCTCCTTTAGACAGCCACGCCTTCCCCCAGGGGATCCTGGGAGTTGTAGTTTGTTCAGGGTGCTGAGAGTGGTTAGGAGACCCAGGTTCCCACACACAGAGAGCTACAATTCCCAGAGTTCCCTGTGAAGAAGGATTGGTTGTCAAACCGCTCTGGGAATTGTAGCTTTGTGAGGGGAATGGGGTGTGTGTGTGTCTCCTGACACCTCTCAGCACCCTGGACAGGCGATGGCCCTCACAGTTCTTTAGGGTGAAGCCGTTGTTGTCGCTGTTCTGCATTGGCGTAGGACAGGGGTCTGCAACCTTTAAGACAAAAAGAGCCACTTGGACCCGTTTCCGAAGGGGGGAAAAACTGGGAGCCGCAAAACCATTGCGACATTTAAAGCATGTGCGCCGCTGCCCTCCGATCTGACAGCGGGCGGGAAGGTGACGTTGGGATGGTGCGTGACTAACGCACGCACCGCCCCCATGCGACGTCACAGCCAGTACAGCGCCCGCCACAGTGGGGAGTGTCGGGGCGCACAATGCGCCTCCTCCCCTCGCTAGTATCCGCCCCGGAGCCGTGGCAAAGGTGTAAAAGAGCCACATGCGGCTCCGGAGCCGCGGGTTGCAGACCCCTGGCGTAGGAGTTAAAGTCCCGTCATGTTTCTTGGAAGGAGCCTGATTTTTCCTATCACCCTTTTGAAGTCGTCTTAGCTAGTGCCCATCACCGCGTTGTGGCGGTGAGTCCCAGAGGTTAACACTACGCCTCTTGGCCTCTCTGATCTCCTGTGAACCAGTGTCATTGTGTGACTCCAATGACTTCTAGAGTTAGGCAAAGGGGAGGAAGAAACGTCTCTGTCTCTCCTCCTCTCTGTGCAATTCCTTAATACGATAAGTATCTGCCATTTCTTCCCCTGTTCCACACGGCATGTGCTGTTGTTGTTGTTGTTAATTATACAGTGGTACCTCTGGTTGCGAACGGGATCCGTTCCGGAGGCCCGTTCCCGACACGAAAAGAGCGCAACCCGCAGCGGTGCGTCTGCGCATGTGCGGGTTGCGATTTGCCGCTTCTGCGCATGTGCATAACATCGTTTTGCGCGTCTGCGCATGCGCGAGCGGCGAAACCTGGAAGTAACCCTTTCCAGTACTTCCGGGTCACCACGGGGCATAACCTGAAAGAATGTAACATGAAGTGGACATAACATGAGGTTTTACTTTATAGGAATTTGCTGACATGCTCTGTAATTTGTATATTTGTTTTTCCCCTCACAGTGCTCTGTATTTTTATGTTTTGAATGTTTGTTGTAAGCTTTTTTGGGCACAGCTGCCCAAAAGCAGTAATCTCAACCCATCTTCTATTATTAATTAATGCCATCACTGCATGATGAGGACAAAAGAACAGTCCCATGCCCCGAGGCACTTACAGTCTAAAATTTGACACAGGGAAGACCGCAGATGGAAGGGATGTGAAACTGAGGCAGATGTAAACAAGGAATAATAATAATTTATTATTTATACCCCACCCCTCTGGCTGGGTTTCCCCAGCCACTCTGGACGGCTTCCAACAAAATATTAAAATACAACAGTCTGTTAAACATTAAAAGCTTCCCTAAAGAGGGCTGCCTTCAGATGTCTTCGGAAAGTCTGGTAGTTGTTTTTCTAGAACATAGCTGTCTATTCAGTTGCCCGCGCCAGGGGGTTGTGCCAGAGGACTTTACTCAAAACAGTAGATTCTGAGGGACTTGGAGGAAGAGAGAGAGAGAGAGAGAGAGAGAGAGAGAGAGAGAGAGAGAGAGAGAGAAATGGCTTCAGCCAGTCCATTCTGGGAGGCAGTTCCAGGACAGTCAGGGAGAAAGAGGAATCGCTTTTAGAGAGGAGGTATTAGGGACGCGGGTGGTGCTGTGGTCTAAACCACAGAGCGTAGGGCTTGCCGATCAGAAGGTTGGCGGTTTGAATCCCCGCAATGGGGTGAGCTCCCATTGCTCGGTCCCTGCTCCTGCCAACCTAGCAGTTGAAAAGCACGTCAAAGTGCAAGTAGATAAATAGGTACCGCTCCGGCGGGAAGGTAAACGGTGTTTCCGTGCGCTGCTCTGGTTCGCCAGAAGCGGCTTAGTCATGCTGGCCACATGACCCGGAAGCTGTACGCCAGCTCCCTCAGCCAGTAAAGCGAGATGTGCGCCGCAACCCCAGAGTCGGCCACGACTGGACCTAATGGTCAGGGGTCCTTTACCTTTACCTAATGACTCTCAGCACCCTTTTTAAAAAAATATAAAATATAGTTTTATTGATTTCCATTGTATAACAACAATTAAAAAGCAAAAAAAGGAGCAAAAATACAGAAGCAAAATCCCATTTTATCCCCTTCCGGGATGGATCAGTCTACAGTGGTACCTCTGGTTAAGTACTTAATTTGTTCCGGAGGTCCGTACTTAACCTGAAACTGTTCTTAACCCCAGAGTCAGCCATGACTGGACCTAATGGTCAGGGGTCCCTTTACCTTTACAGTGGTACCTCGGGTTACAGACGCTTCAGGTTACATACTCTCCAGGTTACAGACTCTGCTAACCCAGAAATAGTGCTTCAGGTTAAGAACTTTGCTTCAGGATGAGAACAGAAATTGTGCTCCGGTGGCGCAGCAGCAGCAGGAGGCCCCATTAGCTAAAGTGGTGCTTCAGGTTAAGAACAGTTTTAGGTTAAGAACAGACATTCGGAACGAATTAAGTACTTAACACGAGGTACCACTGTATTTTAAAAAAAGATGCTCTCAAGTGAGACTAGCATTATACATTTAAAACGATGAAGCCAATAACTGTGTGACGAGGCCATCTCTCTGCTCAGATTAGAGCTGGCTGGCCGACTCACATCTCCCGCTCATAACCACTGTGCTGCTCTGAGCTTTCCCCTTCCTCCTCCCAGGTGCCACTATGGGTGGACCGGTCAACTCTGCGACGAGTGCATTCTTTTCCCAGGCTGCGTCCACGGCAGCTGCACCGAGCCTTGGAAGTGCGACTGCGAGACCAACTGGGGGGGCATCCTCTGCGACAAAGGTGAGCCCCCCCCCACTTGGAGCATGCTCAGTAGAGGCTTGGCTTCTATTGGAAATTGGCCAGTCTGGAATTTTCCCCAGGCTACTCTATGACTCATGTTGAACCCAACCACTGGGGTTCTTTGCCATTGCATTTCATGTTCTACCGACAGGGTCCTTTGTTTTAAATTATTTTGTGTTGCGCCTGGAAGTCGGTCACTAAATTTGTCTCCAGTAAGCCTGGCGATGGTAAGCCAGAGAAGGGAGCAGAGTCAGGCCCAAACAAGTAGATACATACATAAATAATTTTATTTGTATGCCGCCTTTGCACAGTTCAAACCATGCTCAAGGCAGCTTACAAAATGAAAAAATACATAACTACAGTGGTGCCCTGCAAGACGAATGCCTCGCAAGACGGAAAACTCGCTAGACGAAAGAGTTTTCCGTTTTGGAGGTGCTTCGCAAAACGAATCTCCTATGGGCTTGCTTCGCAAGATGAAAATGTCTTGCGAGTTCCTGCGGGTTTTTTTCCTCCCCCCCCTTTTTCTAAGCCGCTAAGCCGCTTATCCGCTAAAAGCCGCTAATAGCGCTAGTCCGCTAATCCGTCAATGGGCTTGCTTCGCAAGACGAAAAAACCGCTAGACGAAGAGACTCACAGAACGGATTATTTTCGTCTTGCGAAGCACCACTGTACAACATAACAAAATTGGTCATAAACAATACATTAAATATTAAATACTCAACCAAACTGAACAATTTCCACATAAACCACAGTAAGATCTATATACTAAAGATACAAAAAACCCCAACAATAAATACTCCTAAGACCCAGAGAGGTGAAGATCCTGCAGCTTCTGCGCTGAAGCCACACATTGCAAAGTTTTTATTCCCAGGGATAAGAGAGTCTCCATTTTCTCTGCTTGATGGGCCTCTTCCATTTTTCTTTGTACCTCTGATGACCCAGGAAGCAGAGGTCCATTTGCTGAGCGGCAAGGTTAAATGGAGGTTTTTTCTCTTTAGTTTTTGCTAAACTAATTATGCAACACAGCAGCCAAACCATGACAATCTGTAGTGTGAGGTACACCCAGATATGTGTGCATCCTGAACCTGAAACAGGTACCGTATTTTTCGCTCTATAAGACGCACTTTTCCCCCTTCAAAAATTAAGGAGAAATGTGTGTGTGTCTTATGGAGCGAATGCAGGCTGCGCAGCTATCCCAGAGGCCAGAACAGCGAGAGGGGTTGCTCCCTCTCGCTGTTCTAGCTTCTGGCTTAGCCATGCTCTGTCCCTTCCCACACCTCCCGTGAAAGCCAGCAAGAGCCACACTCCCTTTAAAGAGCCGCGTGTGTGCGGATCTTGGGGGCTTTTCCCTGAGGAGGGAGAAGGCTGCAAGCGCCGCACACAGGCTCCACGTGGCTCGTGAAAGGGAGCGCTGAGCAGAGCCTGGGATGCACACAGGCTCTGCTCAGCGCTCCCTTTAAAGAATCTTTTTTTTCTTGCATTCCCCCTCTAAAAACTAGATGCGCCTTATGTTCAGGTGTGTCTTATGGAGCAAAAAATACAGTATATTAAGGAAGAATTGAAGCATGCAGTTGTCTTTTTGCTGATAAACAAGCTGGTACTCTCCAGCAATCCTTCATAAGCGTTCTTGATAGCAAGGCCGCTGTCAGATATATAGAAGTGCCCTTCATACGTGCCAATAGACTGGGGATACTTATAAGATCAAAGCACAGCAATGATAGAGAGATGCAAACTCTCTGGAACCAAGGAATCACCTGAGCTTTCCTCCCTGCCCAGATCTGAACTACTGCGGGTCTCACCGTCCGTGCAAAAACGGCGGCACTTGTGCAAACAACGAGCCGAACGAGTACGAGTGCCTTTGTCCCGATGGATTCTACGGCCGGAACTGCGAGGAAGGTGAGCGGCGACTCAAAATGTCGGGCGAGAAAAGCCCCTCCAGGGCAGTTGCCTCCTGGGGTCTCTCCCATAATCCTTGGCAATGCTGTACAGTGTTCAGGGGGCAGAGACAACTATTTTGGTGTGCTACAGCTATAGTCCTCCCAATGCTTTGGAGTGCAACTCCCATTGGCCGCAGCCGGTCAGGAATGATGGGAGTTGTAGTTCATTTTTAGGGCACCTCATTGGCCACCCCCTTTCCCCCCACTTTTTTATTGTTATTAATTGAAGTCCATGATATCATACACAATCTTAAATACATATACAGTGCTACCTTGGGTTACATACGCTTCAGGTTACATACGCTTCAGGTTACAGACTCCGCTAACCCAGAAATAGTGCTTCAGGTTAAGAACTTTGCTTCAGGATAAGAACAGAAATCGGGCTCCTGTGGCACAGCAGCAGCAGGAGGCCCCATTAGCTAAAGTGGTCTTCTTTTTAAGAACGGTTTCAGGTTAAGTACGGACCTCCAGAACAAATTAAGTACTTAACCCGAGGTACCACTGTATTGGGATTCTCCCTCTTGTAGAGTCGTCCCAGAGGTACGACTGTACAAAGAAAAGGTAATAGTGATGATGATGATGATGATGATGATAATAACCATAAATAATTATACAGTCATATCTCGGGTTACAGACGCTTCAGGTTGCGTTTTTTCAGGTTACGGACTGCTGAAACCCAGAAGTACCGGAATGGGTTACTTCCGGGTTTCGGCGATCGCGCATGTGCAGAAGTGCTAAATCACACTTTGCGCATGCGCAGAAGAGCTGAATCGCAACCTGTGCGTGTGCAGACGCGCAGCTGTGGCTTGCGAACGCTGTGGCTTGCGAACGTGCATCCCGCACGGATCACATTCGTAACCCGAGTGTCCACTGTACAGTGGTACCTCAGGTTACATACACTTCAGGTTACAGACTCCGCTAACCCAGAAATAGTGCTTCAGGTTAAGAACTTTGCTTCAGGATAAGAACAGAAATTGGGCTCCGGCGGTGCAGCAGCAGCAGGAGGCCCCATTAGCTAAAGTGCTGCTTCACGTTAAGAACAGTTTCAGGTTAAGAACGGACCTCCGGAACGAATTAAGTACTTAACCAGATGTAGGTACCACTGTAATTGAATACAATATACAGTGGTACCTCGGGATGCGAACGGGATCCATTCCGGAGCCCCGTTCGGATCCAGAATCAAACGTAACTAGCGACGGCACGTCTGCGCATGTGCTAGCCGCTTTTTTGCCGCTTCTGCGCATGCGTGTGACATCATTTTGAGCGTCTGCGCATGTGCGAGTGGCGAAACCCAGAAGTAAGGCGCTCCGTTACTGGGGAGTAACGCGGAGCACAACTCGAATGCATTCAACATGAAGCATATTCAACCCAAGGTATGACTGTACTCCCATAGAGACTACCTTAAAGGTAAAGGGACCCCTGACCGTTAGGTCTAGTTGTGACCCACTCTGGGGTTGCGGCGCTCATCTCGTTTTACTGGCCGAGGGAGCCGGCGTACAGCTTCCGGGTCATGTGGCCAGCATGACTAAGCCGCTTCTGGCGAACCAGAGCAGTGCACGGAAACACCGTTTACCTTCCCGCCAGAGTGGTACCTATTTATCTACTTGCACTTTGATGTGCTTTCGAACTGCTAGGTTGGCAGAAGCAGGGACCGAGCAACGGGAGCTCACCCCGTCACGGGGAATCGAACCGCCGACCTTCTGATCGGCAAGTCCTAGGCTCTGTGGTTTAACCCACAGCGCCACCCGCGTCCCAGAGACTACCTTACACTGTGTTTAAAACCAAAATCGCACTTGAATAGAAACTTAGGAGGCTTCTCAGGATAATTCCCAGGCGAACAGAGGAACTTCATGAGAGTGGGGTTTTTTTTCCCCTTTTTAATGCCCAACCCATGGTGGCCATAAGCATGAAGGGGAGGCCAGCTAGTAGACCTTACTGTGGGCTAGCAGCTTTGGGGCAGGCCCATTTGCAAAACAGCCTTGTGCCTTCTCTTTCCCGTGTCTCCCCAATGCCAGCTCTCCTTCCGTTACCCGTTGCCGAATTAACTTGCGCTTCCGAGCTCTGTGCCAACGGCGGAACGTGCCTCAACACCTCACCTGGTTTCCGGTGCGTGTGCCCCCCAGGATGGAGCGGGGAGCTGTGTCAGCACGGTAAGTGGCTTCTAGCTTGGAGGAAATTGGGGAGGTGTTGGGGAGAAAGAGAAGTCAGTGATAATGTTCGGTCCCGGACAATGGCTGTTCTCTGCCTCCACGGTTGGACCCAGCAATCCTTTTGAGTACCAATTCCTGGAAACCCCAGGTCTTGTGTTCGAATCCTGATTGCGGGCTCCACACAGGCATCTGGTTGGCCGCTGTGAGAACAGAATGCTGGATTAGATGAGCCACCGGCCGGATCCAGCAAACACTTCTTAGGTTCTTTTTTTTTAAAAAAATAATTTTCAGTTTTTGAAATAATAATATTGTTTATACTTAAACATAACAATTTTTACACAATTGTGGGGTTGCAGACTCACCCCCCCATGGTTTTCAAAGTACTGTATTTTTCCATGTATAAGACTAGGTTTTCCCCCTAAAAAACAATGTCAAAAATTAGGGGGCGTCTTATACTCTGGGCCATCTCCCCCCTTAAATCTGAGTCCTCCAAAATAGGGGGCATCTTATACATGGGAGCGTCTTATAGATGGAAAAATATGGTATATCTCCCCCCCCTTTTAATGCATCTAATTTCATTTATCCAACTTTGTTTACATCCATTTTAAACCCTTACCAAATTACATTACATGTGTTATAACAATCCTGCTAACGTTTTTAGTTGTTTACAGTGCTCCTTAATGTAATCTATAAAATTATGCCATTCTTTATTAAATTTGTTATCACCTTGGTGTCTGATCTTCCTGGTCATTTCTGCCATTTCTGCGTATTCCATCATCTTTATTATCCATTCTTCTTTAGTTGGAGTTTTCTCTTCTTCCCATCCTTTTCTTAGGTCCTTATGACTCTTCAGTGTCTCTCTCTCTCTCTCTCTCTCTCTCTCTCTCTCTCTCTCTCTCTCTCTCTCTGCCCCTTGCCTCTGTTCTGCCAGGCAAAGTGTGTCCTCTGAGAGCTGTGGGGAACCTCATGTGATTTCCATAGCTCTGTTGTTGTTTAGTCATTTAGTCATGTCCGACTCTTCGTGACCCCCTGGACCAGAGCACGCCAGGCAATCCTGTCTTCCACTGCCTCCCACAGTTTGGTCAGGCTCATGTTTGTAGCTTCGAGAACACTGTCCAGCCACCTCGTCCTCTGTCGTCCCCTTCTCCTTGTCCCCTCCATCTTTCCCAACATCAGGGTCTTTTCCAGGGAGTCTTCTCTTCTCATGAGGTGGCCAAAGTCTTGGAGCCTCAGCTTCAGGATCTGTCCTTCCAGTGAGCACTCAGGGCTGATTTCCCTAAGAATGGAGAGGTTTGATCTTCTTGCAGTCCATGGGACTCTCAAGAGTCTCCTCCAGCACCATCATTCAAAAGCATCAATTCTTCGGCGATCAGCCTTCTTTATGGTCCAGCTCTCACTTCCATACATCACTACTGGGAAAACCATAGTTTTAACTATACGAACCTTTGTTGGCAAGGTGATGTCTCTGCTTTTTAAGATGCTGTCTAGGTTTGTCATTGTTTTACTCCCAAGAAGCAGGCACCTTTTAATTTTGTGGCTGCTGTCACCAATGCAATGTTTGCTTTTACCAATCTTAACAGTCTTAAGGTCTTAAGGGCATTTGAAAAAATAAACAAATGACGGTGTTTACTTACGAGGAAGGAAATAGAGTGTTAGCACTCTCACTTGCAAACTTTGGCAACAGATGTAAAGTTTTTCAAAGTTGGAAATGCACAAATTTCTGCTTTGGTAAAAGTGTGTGCGTGTTTTCGAGGAGGGATGCGTATGACGTGTGTGAGCACTCAGCTTTGCAAATTTTAAATCTGAATGGGAAATGCTTATTAAACGTTGATCTTTTACTGAGTTCAGACCTTTTAATAAATGGGCATGAATTTCAGAAGACCAAGCCTACTTAATCATTTATTCCGTATGCCTAATTTTTATGTGAGTTCAATTTTTCCATCAAGTAGAAAGGGAACCTCAACTGGATGAATAAGTGTTTCCTATTTTCCCTCGCTTTTTCCTTTTTCGGTGTTTTTCTTACTTTTATTTTCTCCTTTATGGAGGTTCTGACCCAAGTTATGCAAAATTCGACTTTGCATCGAGTTAATTTTGCTGATAGATTATATGCATTAAAACTGTATGTGCCAACTGGATGTTTACGAAATAAATAAAATAAAAATAAAATGTTGATGTTTCAAACATCAGTACTTGCAGCTAATGGGATGACCTTCTCCCACTTTTTTGGGGGGGGAGTGGAGGACTGATGAGTTTTGGGGACACACATGGATGCTTAAAAATGAGACACAGTCCAGAGATAGGCCCCAGAAATTCTAAACTTCATCAAAAAATATAGGCTACTTTTTAAAGTGCAAGGCTGTCAGAGGTTTTTTGGGTTTCAGATTCGGGGAATTGGGTTGCCCAAGGTCTTTCCAAAGGAGACAAAGCAAGACAGCTGAAGTTTGGGAACTTCAAAGCTGCAGTAAATGCTAAACTGGTATTTATTCATTCCAGTGGAATAGCCATGTTTGGGCTATTGCAGCAAAACCAGCAAAAACCAAGCCAACTGAGACCTTCCCCCAGCTGTTTTGGACTACAACGCCCATCAGCCCCAGTGTGGGATGGGAGTTGTAGTTCAGAGCAGCTGGAGGACACCCGATTGGTGATGGCTGGGCTGGACTGACAAGTCTTTTGCGACAATACATTAGATGGTTATCTACCGCAGATGCTTCAGTTGAGATTCCTGCATTGCAGGGGGTTGGACTAGATCAGGGGTAGGGAAACTAAGGCCTGGGGGCCGGATGCGGCCCAATCGCCTTCTCAATCAGGCCTGTGGATGGTCTGGGAATCAGTGTGGGTTTTTACATGAGTAGAATGTGTCCTTTTATTTAAAGTGCATCTCTAGGTTTTTTTTTGGGGCCTGCCTGGTGTTTTTACATGATAGAATGTGTGCTTTTATTTAAAATGCATCTCTGGGTTATTTGTGGGGCATAGGAATTTGTTCTTTTTTTAATCCAAAATATAGTCCAGCCCACCACATGGTCTGAGGGACAGTGGACTGGCCCACGGCTGAAAAAGGTTGCTGACCCCTGAGCTAGATGACCCATGGGGTCCCTTCTAACTCTTCTATGATTTATGCATTGAATTCCACACGCTTTCTGTGTGGTTTCAGTTTCCCCAATGCTGCAACCGTAAAAGCCGGAAACCTTAAAAAGGGACATCTCTGTTCTTTTCCTGAGACAAATTAGGTTCAGGTTGCCGTAACTGCTAGCAGAAGTGCAGTTTTGCAAACCGCCGGGCGCTGCGTTAATTCCACTGGCGTTAATTCCACTAGATGGCTGTAAAGTTAAGGGATGATTAAAGTGCTGAGATTTCCCTCTGCCTCTGTTGCCGGATCCTCCTAACCGCAGCGCATTGTTTTGCTGCCCCCTAGAGGTGACCGACTGCCTCTCCCAGCCCTGCAGCCACGGCGGGACTTGCAAGGACCTCCCTGACGGCTTCAAGTGCCTCTGCACTCCTCAGTGGACAGGGAAGACCTGCCAGATCGGTGAGGATTTTTTGCCCTTCGTTGCGTGACGTTCTGTGGTCGCTCCTTCTTCCTTGGGTTAGAATCATAGAATCATAGAATCATAGAGTTGGAAGAGACCACAAGGGCCATCGAGTCCAACCCCCTGCCAAGCAGGAAACACCATCAGAGCACTCCTGACATATGGTTGTCAAGCCTCTGCTTAAAGACCTCCAAAGAAGGAGACTCCACCACACTCCTTGGCAGCAAATTCCACTGTCAAACAGCTCTTACTGTCAGGAAGTTCTTCCTAATGTTACATCACCTCCTCCTACCCTTTTCCCCAGGGCTGTCTTTAGCAGATGCGGGGTGCAAATATGCGCCTAGCACCCCCAAATTACCACGGATGGGGGACGGGGAGCTGCGCAATGCCAGCCACATACCGTATTTTTCACTCCATAAGACACACCCGGCCATAAGATGCACCTAGTTTTTAGAGGAGGAAAACAAGAAAAAAAAATATTCCGAATGAAACAGTGGATGTATGATTTTTGTGGTTCATTCTGTGGCCACAGACATGATATGTGATTTGACGGTGAGTTTGGGGCAGCCCAATGCAAAAATCTTGAGAATCCATGTGGATCCGTGCTTTGTAACCACGTTTTTGCGCCATTGTGGCCCCACAAAACAGTGGGTGCATGGTTTTTTTGGTGCAGGCTGTAGCCATGGACGTGCTATGTGATCTGATGGTGAATTTGGGGTGAACCAATGCAAAAATCCTGAGGATCCATGTGCTTTTATCTCCCCCCTCCCAGGCAGCCTCTTTTATCACTAGCGTCCCTTATCTCTCTCCTGATCGCTTGCCGATCAGCTGATCAGCAGCTTCCTTTCAACACCCCCTTCCCTCTTTCTTAAAAAAAAAAGCACAATCTGCTTTTCGCCCCGGGCAATTCGGCTCCAGGGACCATGCATTCGCTGCATAAGACGCACAGACATTTCCCCTTACTTTTTAGGAGGGAAAAGGGCGTCTTATGGAGCGAAAAATACGGTAGTTAGCAGGGTGCAGCTTCCATCCTAAGCCTCTGCAGGGATTGCTCTCCTCCCACGGAGGCTTGGGAGGCGAGCTGCACGCCCACCAGCTATATGGTTGACGGGGCGCAGCTGGTGGGTGTGCAGGGAAAGGGGAGGCCGCCAGCAAAGCCTCGCAGCTCCCCCACTCGCTGGGGTGCCCCTAAGAGGCCGGCGCCCTGGTGCGACGCACCACTAAACCCTATGGGAAAGACGTCTCTGTTCTTCCCAACGTTCCACCTCCTTGCCCTCCCAGCTGGTCCCGTGTCATTTTCCTTTTCTTTCCTGCCCCCAAATCAACACCCCTCTTTCCCTCGCCGCCCCTGCCCTGTTTTCAGCATTCTGGAAGTCTGGGACTTCCTCCTCCTCGGATGTTAGAATGTTTGTGCTCATTCCGCTGCTCCACAGTAGAACTGCCACTTAGGGGAGGTGAAAAACCGGGAGCTTTCAGCCTTTTAACAGGGGCAGGCTTTTGGTAATCTTTTGTAATGTGGTGCCCTGTGCAAGGCCAAAATTGGGCGCCCACAAATGGATCTTTTCCCATTATGGATCTTTTAAAGTTTGCATCCCCTCGACTTGGCCACCCGCACTGCCCTAAATCCTGCGCTGATACCAGGCGCTTTCTGTGTTGGTTTCAGGTTTTTCTCTGCAACTGTGAGGCCAGATACTTGCAAAGTGGTGTAATCTCTCTGATTTTTCTCCTGAGTCAGCTAGTCTGGAGTCCCTGGGCATGACTTCTGTCCAAGCATGAGGTTCTGAACCCTGACGGGTGCCCTGGTGATTAACTGGTGTGATTTACAGTTGCCACAAAATACACTCTTCTTAGATGGCTTTACAGATCAGACCGGGCATATTGCTGGAGGAAGGGTGCGCTTGGGATTTAGTCACATACTTAGACTGAGCCTCCATTTACAGGAGTATTATATCTCTAGTGGCTGGGTACAACCAGCGAGAGGCAACCCTTAGGCCATCACGCCCCTGCTTCCTAGAGAAATCTGGCTGATCACTGTTGAAAGCTGTTGGTGCTGACCTCAGTGGACCTTGGCTCTGATTTGGCTTGGCCAATTCCCTATGTTCTTGTTTCCAGATGTGAACGAATGCCAGAAAAACCCATGTCTCCATGCACGTGGGTGCAAAAACCTCATCGGGGGCTATTTCTGTGACTGTCTGGATGGCTGGACTGGAACAAACTGCAATATCAGTAAGGATGGGGGACCCCAGTGGGGTGCGACATGCATTCAGGAGTCAGGGCAAAGTCAGCCTTAATCTGGCTGACGCACTTCAATTTGTACCCGTAGCAAGGAGAAGGGCTGTTACCCAGTGATAAGAACATATCCGCACCTTAGCAAGGCTAGGGGGGGACCTGTGCCTGAGACCTCAGAGAGACCTTTGTCCAATCAGATGAGATAATTGAGTCCTGGATGGATGACTGGTGAGACTCTGAACCAGGCAGCTATCTTCCTATAGACATAGAACTGTAAGGCTGTCGTCACGCAGCCGCCTTTGGAGGACTGGGGATGCCACATCACAATTCTGGATTTGCATCACGTCAGGGTACAGGAGGGGAGCAAAAGAGAAGGCAGGTGTTAAAATGGCGGTTTTAAGCCACAGTAGAGGTTTGGATAAAGCGGGGATGGAGGTGTTGTAAGGTGGATTTGTAGACCAGAAGTTGCCCACTGCTGCTTTCGAGCCAGACAGCTCAGCTGAAAACCGTCTGGCAATCTGATTGGCTTCCTTCGTGAACATCAGGCACATGACTGAGGGCAGATCCACACCACCGATTTAAAGCACACCCCACACACTTTTAAATCCCATGGCCCCCCCACCAAAGAATCAGGGAACTGTAGTTTGTTAAGGGTGCCAGGAATTGTGGCTCTGCGAGGGGAAAACTACAGTTACCGGAATTCTTTGAGGAAAGCCACACGCTTTAACTCTGCACTGGATGCACTTTCAACGCATAGTGCGGATATGATGTATGACTTTCTCGTTCCAGCAGACATTTTAAGGTAGTGTTTGGTTTTACAGATGAAATGGTTACTGTTTTATTGGCCTGTTTTCCATAGGTAGTTTTTTATGTACACTGCTGAGAAAGGGGAATAATCAAGGGGTATAGAAATGTCTTAAACTAGTGGTTCCCAATTTAGCGAAGTACTGTGGACCGACTGTTTTTCGAAAGTCAAGCCATGGACCCCTTTACAGTGGTGCCCCGCAAGACGAATGCCTCGCAAGACGAAAAACCCGCTAGACGAAAAGGTTTTCCGTTTTTCGATGCGCTTCGCAAGACTATTTTCCCTATGGGCTTGCTTCGCAAGACGAAAACGTCTTGCGAGTCTTGCGATTTTTTTCGCTTCCCCCCCTTTTTTCTAAGCCGCTAAGCCGCTAATAGCCTTTTAGCCGCTAAGCCTTTAATAGCCGCTAAACCGCTAATCCGCTAAGCCGCTAATAGGATTGCTTCGCAAGACGAAAAAACTGCTAGACGAAGAGACTCGCGGAACGGATTATTTTCGTCTTGCGAGGCACCACTGTACTTTTGAAAATTTTGATATCTCTATGGTAGTTTTTGTTATGTGAATTGTGCCACAGAACCCCTAAATGGATTATGTGGAAGCACCCATTGGGAACCACTGTCTTAAATAAATAGTGTATTTCTCTCACAGAAACTGGTTAGAACTTCAGTGATCACACACCCATTCTCTACTTTACCCCCTTATTCCCAAATAGGAGAAAACTCTTGCCGGAGACGATGTCGCAATGGAGGGACCTGCCAGGTAAGTGTGTGGGTGCTCAGGTCAGATTGAGAGAAAGAGAAACTTTCAAAATCAAGAATTGAGGGCTGCCATTTTAGGGATGCTACCCTGAGAAATCCACCCAACTTGTGCTGGCAGAGACATCCTGCCAGGTTGTTTTCAGCCTTGCTCCTCGCAGCCTTGCTGGCTTTCTTGGACCACTGCCCTGCTGCCGCAGAAGCCCACCAGCCAGTAATCACAAAGTTCAAAGACGGATTTAGCTTTTTGCTAGCGAAAACACCATCTCCACAGACTGGGCTGAGTGTCAGGCCCAGTTTGGCCCGCCATCTTGATTCAACATGGCGTCCAAACAGAGACAAAGATTGCCTCCCCGCCAACCCCCCAGGAACCCTTGTGCCGAATTTGGCAACAAGATATCAAGAGACGGCCAAACCTATAGAGAACAGACAGGATGCACAACTTTCCAAAATATATAGTAGATGGGTCGCCTCAGTATAAAGTAGCTTAGGTATTCTAGATCTGTGATATCTGCCAGCCCACGATCTTTCTGTGGGCTTCACGTCTGCCTGGAGGAAGACTTCCACTTGGTAATCCTCACAGAACTCTAGCCCAATGGTTGCCATTAATTTGATTTTGAATTGATTTTAGAATGCTGTGTTACTTTTATTGTTGTTAGCCGCTCTGAGCCCAGCTTTGGCTGGGGAGGGCGGAATATAAATAAAATTTTATTGTTATTATAATTATTCGTTCTGGCATGGGGAACCTCTTTGACTGCAGATCCCACAAGCTCAACCCAGCGTGGCCAATGAGCTGGATGACAAGGGTTGTGGTTTAGCAATACTTGGGGGGCTAGTTTCCCTTTGTGCAAGTTCATCTGTGAGTTGTCCGCAATTTTGTTTAACGGGATCCTCTTTAGCCCATTTGCGTTATTCCTGCATTGCGGGGAGTTGGTCTGGATGACCCCTGGGTCCCTTCCAACTCAACAACTCAATAATAATAATAATAATAATAATAATAATAATAATAATAATAATAATTTATTATTTATACCCCACCCATCTAGCTGGACTTCCCCAACCACTCTGGGCGGCTTCCAACAAAGTATTAAAATACAGTGGTCTGTTAAACATTAAAAGCTTCCCTAAACAGGGCTGCCTTCAGATGTCTTCTAAAAGTCTGGTAGTTGTTCTCTTTGACATCTGATGGGAGGGCGTTCCACAGGGCGGGTGCCACTACCGAGAAGGCCCTCTGCCTGGTTCCCTGTATCTTGGCTTCTCGCAATGAGGGAACCACCAGAAGGCCCTCGGAGCTGGACCTCAGTGTCCGGGCAGAACGATGGGGGTGGAGATGCTCCTTCAGGTATACTGGGCTGAGGCCGTTTAGGGCTTTAAAGGTCAGCACCAACACTTTGAATTGTGCTCGGAAACGTACTGGGAGCCAATGCAGATCTCTCAGGACCGGTGTTATATGGTGTCAGCGGCCACTCCCAGTCACCAGTCTAGCTGCCGCATTCTGGATTAGTTGTAGTTTCTGGGTCACCTTCAAAGGTAGCCCCACGTAGAGCACATTGCAGTAGTCCAAGCGGGAGATAACCAGAGCATGCACTACTCTGGCAAGGCAGTCCGCAGGCAGGTAGGGTCTCAGCCTGCGTACCAGATGGAGCTGGGAGACAGGTGCCCTGGACACAGAATTGACCTTGCCTCCATGGACAGCTGAGTCCAAAATGACTCCCAGGCTGTGCACCTGGTCCTTCAGGGGCACAGTTACCCCATTCAGGACCAGGGAGTCCTCCACACCTGCCCGCCTCCTGTCCCCCAAAAACAGTACTTCTGTCTTGTCAGGATTCAACCTCAATCTGTTAGCCGCCATCTGTTATGACTCCACGATTCCTATGCCCTTCCTGTGTTCCACAATTCCCCTCCTACGCAACTTGACGACTCGCTAACGCCAGTTCCTCTCTCTCTCCTCTTCCTCCTCTTCCTCTCTGTTCCCAACAGGTGAAAGGCGGAAGGCACCTCTGCACCTGCCGGGAGGGCTTCACAGGCGCAGAGTGCGAGACGGAGCTGAGCACCTGTGGTGGCGCCCCCTGCCTGCACGGAGGGCAATGCCAGGAGACGGAAAACAAGACCTTCCTTTGCAACTGCCCTCCCGGGCTTAGTGGCAGCCGCTGTGAGGTACTGAGGGGTGTCTGGGGCTTCTGTGGGGCAAGGTCAAAGCACCAAACTAAAACTCTTCAGTTCCTAAAAAGGATCACAGGGCAAGGGTGTCGAGACAGTGCTGCGCCGATCTCTTTCATTAATCTGGGCATTGTTTCTCATGAAGCCTTGAAAGCCGAGCACGATCCCCTGTGCCTTCATAGAATTGCAGAGATGGAAGGGACCCCGAGGGTAATCCAGTCCAACCCCCTGCAATGCAGGAATCTCAACTAGACTGTCCATGGCAGATGGCCACCCAACCTCTGCTTAAAACATCCAAGGAAAGAATTCATCACCTCCTGAGGGAGCCTGCTGTCTAACAGCTCTTGCTGTCAGAAAGTTCTTCCTGATGTTTAGTCCGAATTTCCTTTCTTGTCGCTGGAATCCATTGGTTCAGGTCCTACCTGCCAGAGTAGTGGAAAACACATCTTCCATGTGAAAGCCCTTGGAATGAAATGGCCGTAGTAATATTAATAATAATAATAATAATAATAATAATAATAATAATAATACAGTCATACCTCGGGTTACAGATGATTCAGGTTGTGTGTTTTCAGGTTGCGCACTGCACCGGACCTGGAAGTACCGGAACGGGTTACTTCTGGGTTTCGGCGCATGTGCAGGAACACTAAATCGCACTTTGCGCATGCGCAGAAGCACCGAATCATGACCTGCACGTGCACAGATGCAGCTCTGTGGGTTGCGAACGTGCCTCCCACACGGATCACATTGGCAACCCGAGCGTCCACTGTAATAATAATAATAATAATAATAATAATAGTACTACAGTGGTACCTCAGGTTAAGTACTTAATTCGTTCCGGAGGTCCATATTTAACCTGAAACTGTTCTTAACCTGAAGCACCACTTTAACTAATGGGGCCTCCTGCTGCTGCCGCGCCGCCGGAGCCCAATTTCTGTTCTTATCCTGAATTAAAGTTCTTAACCTGAAGCACTATTTCTGGGTTAGCAGTCTTTAACCTGAAGCGTATGTAACCTGAAGCGTGTGTAACCTGAGGTACCACTGTAATAATATTTTTACTGTTTGTACCCTGCCTATCTGACTGGGTCTCCCCAGCCACTCTGGGCGGCTTCCCACAAATATAAAAGCGTAATAAAACATCAAACGTTAAAAAACTTCCCTGTATATCATATCACCTCTCCATCTTCTCCAGGCTAAACATTCATAGAATCATAGAGTTGGAAAAGACCACAAGGGCCATCGAGTCCAACCCCCTGCCAAGCAGGAAACACCATCAGAGCACTCCTGACATATGGTTGTCAAGCCTCTGCTTAAAGACCTCCAAAGGAGGAGACTCCACCACACTCCTTGGCAGCAAATTCCACTGTCGAACAGCTCTTACTGTCAGGAAGTTCTTCCTAATGTTTAGGTGGAATCTTCTTTCTTGTAGTTTGGATCCATTGCTCCGTGTCCGCTTCTCTGGAGCAGCAGAAAACAACCTTTCTCCCTCCTCTATATGACATCCTTTTATATATTTGAACATGGCTATCAGATCACCCCTTAACCTCCTCTTCTCCAGGCTAAACATGCCCAGCTCCCTTAGCCATTCCTCATAAGGCATCGTTTCCAGGCCTTTGACCATTTTGGTTGCCCTCCTCTGGACACGTTCCAGTTTGTCAGTGTCCTTCTTGAACTGTGGTTCCCAGCTTCCTCATAAGGCTTTCTTTCCAGAACCTATGTTTTCATGCAGTGCATTGAATATGTTATGCAAAATGCATGCAGACACACTCACTTTGAGTGACGTATGCATCGCAGAATGTTGCCTGTGCAAATTGTGCCTTTTCAAGGGGGGGGGGGAGAAGAGTGGAGTCCAGATGGTCGTCTTTACAACCACCTCTGGCGATCTGGAACATTTCTGCCCCACCCGGTTGCAGCCCCCTCTCCATCCCTCCACAACCAATCTGTGTCCTTGTTGTTTGGATCCGGCAGGTCTTTGTGGATCCCTGCTCCTCGAACCCGTGTCCCGACAACGCTTCCTGCGTGGGCAGCGAGGGCAGCTACGTCTGCTCCTGCCCCGAAGGCGCTACTTGCCGGCAGCTGCGAGACGCCTGCCTCGACGGCGTGTGCCAAGGTAGGTGCCGGGAGCCGCTGGCGGGGCCCAGGGTAACACTGTCAGAGTGCTATAGGAGAGTTCAACAATGGCTACCACTTGTATACACACCCCTCTCTGTCCTCTGAACAAACACTGTCGTTACAATCAGTTTTTATTAATTTTCATTCTTACACATACACATATACACATTATACATTGATCCATCCACCTAAACCTTAAGCTCTGCTGAGATTTGGACTTCCCTCCGTCTCTTCGGTACGTATCATATAGTTATAACATCGCGTATTCTATTTAATACTATTTTATCTTATGCTGTTAGAGTTACTCCAACCCTGCCAGTGTCTTTAAAGTTTTACAGTTTACTCTTACATACACCAAATATTTGCTCCAATTTTCAACAAACTTCTTTTCGTCTTGATCCCGTATTTTCCCCGATAATCTAGCCAGTTCTGCGTAATTCATCATTTTGGTCTGCCATTCCATGATTGTAGGTATAGTATCAGTTTTCCAGTTCTGGGCCAACATAGTTCTAGCTGCTGTCGTGGCGTACAGGAAAAGATTTTTATCCTTCTCTTTAATTTCCTTCCCTGTCAATCCCAATAAAAAGGCTTCAGGTGTTTTTTTTAGAAAAGTGTACTTTAAGATTTTTTAAAGCTCATTATATATTGATTCCCCAAAACCCTTCACTTTCCCACAAACCCACCACATATGATATAAATCTCCTTCTGCCTCACCACACTTCCAGCACTTCCTATTTTTTATTCTATACATCTTTGCCAATTTCACCGCACATGCCGTAAATTTCATGTTTACATTCCATAATTCATACCATGCTTCCTCTGAACAAACACTGTCTGGGTTCAAGGGCACATTCCAGCCCGGTGAAGGTTGCAAAGTGAGGCCGGTGAGGGGCGGGCCTGGGGAAAGCCCTGAGGGGCAGCATCCCGTCTTCACTTCGGAACTGACAAGGCCATCCATTAGTGTCACAGACTGATAAAGGAGGGGGCTTTGAGCACTTGTTTATACAGCTGGGTCTCTGTTGTACATTTGCTCAAGTGCTCAAGTTAATGGATTTTAGCTAAGGAAAAATGGGGATTTTGGGGCTGTTTCAAACTGACTGCACAGTCAGTTTTGGATTTGGGAAACCCATTCCTTCACTCCGATGCCTCTTCTGGTCCTGGGAGACCAGGCAGGAGGAAAACTTGTTGAAGCAGGAGGGGGCGACTTCCTGGCTTCCTCACCAGCCTGCCCGATCTCTGCCTCTTGGCCTTGCTCCTCTCCAGCCTCTGCTTCTGTCTCTGCTTCTGAACTGCTCTCTGCCACAGACTCTTCTAGCTCACTAAGCCCTGTTTCCTCTTCAGGCGATTATGGGAGCAAAACATCTTTCCAATCCCTGGAGAGGCCGAGGACTGAACTTTGGGCCTCCTGCTCTGCTTACAGAGCTCTGGGGTGATTTGGGACCACCTTCCTCAACCCGGAGCCCTCCAGACTACAACTCCCATCAGCCACGCTGCCCGACCGAGGATGATGGGAGTGGTAGTCCGAAAGACCAGGTTGGGAATGTCTGTTTTTTTTGTTTCCCAGCGGGCAAGGCCTCATTCATCCTCCTCTCCCTTCCAGGCGCCGCCAACACAACAATCCTCTATGTGCTGCTGCCGCTGGCTGCGCTGCTCGTCCTGTTGGTCCCCACCTTGGTCCTCCTGGCGCTGTGGATCCACCGCAAATCCCAGGGGACTCCTCCAGCCGCACCGGAACCCGCCACCAACAACAGCCTGCAGCCCGATGCCGTCCACCTGATCCGCAACTTCACCCACGGCGACGCGGAGCAGGGGACCCGGGGAGGAGGAGGCCACGGCCAAGGCGGGGCGACCCCCAGGAACGCGCCCGCCCTGCGGGCTCCCAAAGACAGACATCTCCAACGAGGAGAGGGCCAAACTGAACCGGCTGAACGCCGCTCCGGCCTTGCCGAGGCCTCTGCTCTGACCCAGCGGGAGAGGGGACGGTGTTTCAGCTGTGTGCAAAAAAATTAAAAAGGCGGAGAGGGGAATTGGACCCGCAGAGGAGGACTCCGTCAGCACTGCGATCAGGGGCTAAAGAGCCCAGTGGCACTGCCCCCCCCAAAAAGTGGGGTGTGCGACCCCCAAAGCACCTTCCTGACCAATCAAGCCTTTTGTAGTAGCAGTCCGTCCACACTTGCCCAGCGCTGCTGTATTTCTGACTTGGAAAGGATGCCAGAGTTCCTGTCTGCCTTTCACTGTAGGGCAGCGAGGAGCAGCTTCTGTGAAACACGTGCAGGCGGAAGCCCAACAGGTTGGGTCACCGGATAACGACCCCGCCCCTTAAAGGGGGATCGGTTGGGGAGATTAGTTCTCTGGATGCGAGGAAAGCCGTCCCTCCAAACTTTAGTCTGGCAAAGGCAATATGGAAGCCGGGAGGATTTTGGCTCCGCTGCCGGACTTTTCTCAGAGAGTCCAGGTTGGCCGGAGGACAATGAAAAGTCACCTTGCTTCTGCTTCCGAAGGGGTTAAAGGGTGTGTGTGTGTAATTTGAATGGAGAGAAGGGATTGGAGGAGCTGGGCCGCGCCCATCTGGACCTAGCCTCCGATTGGCTACATGGTCTGGAAAGCTACATTATGGAGTGCAGAGGGGCTTAGGGCGGAAGATTGCCTTGTGGCCAAGCGTTGCTGACAACTGCCGGCCATTTTGCCATGAGGGAAAACAGGAAATGCCAGCCCTTGCCTCCTCCTCTGCCTGAGGGGGCTGGAGGAGGGCCGGGGAAGGCAGCAGGGGGGAAGAATGGAGACCCCCAAAAAGCAGGCAGAGGGGGCTGGTGTGGACGAAAAGCGCAGGAAGCAGCGAGTGCCACACTCCTTGGAGGGCCGGATTTGCCACCCATCACAGCCTGCCGCCTGAGGCAACTGCCTCATCGGGCGTCATTGCGGGCCGGACCTGCTGGGAGGGGTGGCAAATGTGCCAAGGAGAAGCCCATCGAAGGTCCTACACCCCCACCAACTGTATCGGCCATCTCTTGTCACGGGGCATCAAAGCTAAGACCTCCCTTCCTGGATCAGACCAGAGGTCATCTTTTCTGCCTATAAGAGCCTGTCAGGTGACTCAGAGGATGCTCCTATGGGGGTGGGCACACTGTCCCCCCCCCATAAGTCTAGTGCCTCTGTGCTCCTGGATGTTTTAAGCCAGGGACGGGGGAACCTGTGGTCCTCTGGGTGTTACTGGACTACAACTCCCATCCGCTCCAGCCAGTGTGGCTGTTGGTCAGGGATGATGGGAGCTGTAGTCTAGTGAACGTCTGGAAGGCCCAGTTTTGGTCCATCATGCTTAAGAGCCATTTGGTGCAAGACTTTCCGTCCTCGAGAATTTTCCTAGCCTCCGGAAGCAGCAGCTGGTGAGTTCTGGGTATAGATATCTAGCACCTTGACGCCTGCCCCTGCTCCCTGGCCAGCTCCACAGCCATGAAGGGGAAGGTCCAGTGGTCTAAACCAGGGGTCAGCAACCTTTTTCAGCCGTGGGCCAGTCCACTGTCCCTAAGACCATGTGGTGGGCCGGACTATATTTTTTTTGGGGGGGAGAACGAATTCCTATGCCCCACAAATAACCCAGAGATGCATTTTTAATAAAAGCACACATTCTACTCATGTAAAAACACTAGGCAGGCCCCCAAATAACCCAGAGATGCATTTTAAATAAAAGGACACATTCTACTCATGTAAAAACCACGCTGATTTCTGGACCGTCCGCGGGCCGGATTGAGAAGGCGATTGGGCCACATCTGGTCCCTGGGCCTTAGTTTGCCTACCCCTGGTCTAAACGGAGACTAAAAATGTAATCTCCAAATGAGCTGGGGTGTTGGTCCTAATGCATGATGGGTTGTAGAAGCCGCTCCACATTAGGAGATTCCCGCTGTGGTTTCTGTTGCAGAAGACGATGTAAGTTTGCACAGTTGCGGAGGGGAAAACTAGGGCCAGCCCTACCATTAGTCTGAGTGAGCAACTGCCTCAGGTGGCAGTTAGCAAGGGGTGGCAGCAGTTTCTCCACACAAACACACCCCAATACTCAAGTCCCCTAAACTAGCTGACTCGCCACCTCCTAAGCTAGCTTGGTGACCTTCAGATGTGGTGGAAGATGCCAACCTAGTGTTGAAATCAGAGTCGCCCATCAGTCTGGCTGGATTCTGTACGCAGAACAGGGCGACGCCATCTTGCCATTTGCCTCCAGCTGTGCTGGTCCCAAGGGCTAACTGTGCAGCGAGGTCTGAGTCCAGTTTGAGGTCGATGGTGCGGTATGGAGGCTGTCCATCAAAGCTGAAGCGGGGTCCAAGGCAGGGAGTCGGGTGAGGTCAGGAACTCTGGCAGAAGAGCAGGACAGGGTGCAGGCAGGAACAGACTACCAACAATGTTGCTCCCGCAACCTGGGACTGGGCTGGCTGGCTTTTATCTGCCCCGAGGCATAGGGCGGCCCCGATCCTCTGGTGACTCGCCTCTCCTGGCCTGGAGGTGAGCACTCCTCCTGCGGGAACTTAGTTCCCTCCGCCTCTCTGCCCTGAGCCTCTGCAGTTCAGGAGAGGCTGGAGGGTTACCGGACCCAGAGGCAACCTCAGCTTCCCCTGACGGGGCTGAGAGTGGAGCACCTGCAGGCAATGGGTCCTCCATCCCCTCAGGAGCCAGAGCAGACTCAGCTGATGCCTGCACCTGAGGATCCAGCACAGGTGAGGACCCTTCAGGCTCAAGCCCCGGCTCAGCTGGTTCTGGAGGCAGGGACTTCTGTGCAGGCTGGGATCCCTCAGGTTTAGCCTCCGAGTCCAAATCCCAGGCCATCACACCGGCAGCATAGTGTCATGGGCAGGCCCCGGGAAAAGGCCTTGTCTTTTCCCTCCCCACTGGGGTATCTTATTGTTCCCAGTTGCAACTGTCTGGCAAATGGCCTGTTTGAGTCTGATTCAGAAAAACTGGACCCCTTTGTGTCCCCTTATCTGCCTCTGAGGCGGCCCAGTTTCTAACCACTCCTTTGTGAAACCATCCCGCTTGCCGCAGTCCTGCGAATTGCATACCCCAAGTTGCGCTTGGTGCTTCCAAGGAGATGTTGAATTGTTGGTTACAGCAGGCTTCACCAACCTGGTGCCCTCTGGATGTTTTGGACTACAACTCCCATCAGCCATTGCATGCTCTTTCAAACGAGATGAGGAAAGCCTCTGGATTATCTTTCTCTTTTGAATTCAGGGAAATGCTTGAGATCAGTTTACTGAAGAACAAACAAGTTTTAAATATACAGTGGCATCTTGGGTTAAGTACTTAATTCGTTCCGGAGGTCCGTTCTTAACCTGAAACTGTTCTTAACATGAAGCACCACTTTAGCTAATGGGGCCTCCTGCTGCAGCCGTGCCGCCGCTGCGCGATTTCTGTTCTCATCCTGAAGCAAAGTTCTTAACCCGGGGTAATATTTCTGGGTTAGCGGAGTCTGTAACCTGAAGCGTATGTAACCTGAAGCGTATGTAATCCGAGGTACCACTGTATTCAGAACGGTTTCTCAAATGTGCGCCCTTAAGTAGATGTGGCACGGAAATGAGGAAACTGGAACTGGCGGCAAATAATAATAATAATAATAATAATAATAATAATAATAATAATAATAATAATAAAATTATTTATGCACCGCCCTCCCCGGCCAGAGCCGGGCCCAGTAAAATTACAGTAAAAACATAATAGGGGGGAAAAACACCAATTTAAAATACAGGTTAAAATGCAATTTAAAATGCAGCCTCATTTTAAAAGTAGCCCATAGATCAAAACCATAAGGGGAGGGAAGACATAAGGGTCAGTCAGACCGAGTCCAAACCAAAGGCCAGGCAGAACAGCTGTCGTGCAGGCCCTGCAGAAAGATGTCAAGTCCCGCAGGGCTCTGGTCTCTTGTGACAGTGCGTTCCACCAAGTTGGGGCCAGTAATGAAAAGGCCCTGGCCCTAGCTGGGGAAAACAATAATAATACGTTATACATGCTCAATGTATCCTTGTCAAACCATTACCAATTGCACATTTAACCTCCAGCATAAATAGGGAGGGGACGCGGGTGGCGCTGTGGGTAAAAGCCTCAGCGCCTAGGGCTTGCCGATCGAAAGGTCGGCGGTTCGAATCCCCGCGGCGGGGTGCGCTCCCGTTGCTCGGTCCCAGCGCCTGCCAACCTAGCAGTTCGAAAGCACTCCCGGGTGCAAGTAGATAAATAGGAACCGCTTACTAGCGGGAAGGTAAACGGCGTTTCCGTGTGCAGCTCTGGCTTGCCAGAGCAGCGATGTCACGCTGGCCACGTGACCCGGAAGTGTCTCTGGACAGCGCTGGCCCCCGGCCTCTTGAGTGAGATGGGCGCACAACCCTAGAGTCTGTCAAGACTGGCCCGTACAGGCAGGGGTACCTTTACCTTTTTTATAAATAGGGAACTGAAGTATCCGGTGAAAGAGCAACTTCCCAAAAACTATACAGGAGGCAGCAACGTTAGCTGACCAAATGAATGAAATTAGAGACAGGGGCTGATGGGAGTCGTAGTCCAATACACAGGGTGACGAAGATCACATATGCTCATTGCCACAGATCCTCCTGCCTCCATATTCTTTGCTTACCGCATTGCCAGCAGGGGACCCCACTTGTCCCCTTCCTTAGAATCATATAAAGTTGGAAGGGACCCCAAGAGTCCAGCCCCCTGCAGAGCAGGAAATCCTTTGCCCAACGTGGGGCTCAAACCCACAAAAACGCGATTTAAGAGTCCCGCGCCGTATCGACTGAGTTATCCAGAGTTTGTTGGGCGTATCCTGACCAAAGTCCGCTTGCTGCCGACCCAAATTGAGGACCGACTTTCCCTCCTTCCCCTACTGGGCAGAGTATTCATTATTGCTATTGTGATTAATAAGAATAATCCATTACTCTGAATCAGATAGAACTTGTACAGATTTGAAAAAGGGGAGGAACAATGGGTGGGAGGGTAACAGTATCCCGAAACCCAACTGGGAGTGGGCTGAATGTATTTAAATTGTAATATATTGTAAAGATGACTTTGTAGCTTTTTGTTGTTGATCTTCTGGTTACTTTTAAGATGATAATTGATGATTATTTTGTACTGGGGCACAGTTGAAGAAACCTGAGTAAATACTTTATTTGCCTCATTTATTGCCTTGGGAGAAATTTCATTTCTTGGCTTGGGGTGGTCTGTCCCAGAACGGTTCCGATTGTCATCGCGGATACTACGGCATCCAAACCACTTGACCGGAGGGCAGCCTTTAAACAGGGAACCCTACTGGCTCCCTGTGTCACTAGAGTGTGCCATTTTAGGGGGTGAAACTTAATTTCTGCAAATTTCTTCAGCGAGGTGTCTTTAAAATATTATTTTGGGGTGTGAGTAATTCAGATCTGCTAGGGTTTTTGTTTTGCAATTGGACAACATTTAGATCAGTAAGTCTGCATTTGATGTGAGGTGCCAGTAAGTTCCGGCTGAAGAAAAGCCCTGAATTTAACCAAAATCCCAAGTCATACTGCAGCTTCTTGGCACCCCTCATTTTTGGAATTTGAAAGTTGGAAAATTTGACACGCCCTCCTTTCCCCTGACCCCCGATGAGGCACGGCTACCCTACCACCCTCCGGCCCTCGGCAAAGAACCTCGTACCTACGGGACCGCCTCTCCCGGTATGCCCCGCAGAGGACCTTAAGGTCCATGAATAGCAACACCCTAGAGGTGCCCTAAGGAAGTCAGATTAGCCTCAACCAGAGCCAGGGCCTTTTCAACACTGGCCCCGGCCTGGTGGAACGCTCTGTCTCATGAGACCAGGGCCCTGCAGGATCTGATTTCTTTCCGCTGTAAGACAGAGTTGTTCCGCCTGGCCTTTGGCTTGGAATCAACCTGATCCCCTTCCCCTCTATCCTTTCTCCTTCTGTGATGGAACTCCTATTTGGGGACTTCCCTGGCTTTTTTCTGGCCCACGTAGGACCAGTCTGGATAGCTGGCCTTGGTGAAGTTTTGACATTTTCGTCCCCCCAAATTTTTTGATTTGAGATTCGCCCGGTTTTTGAACCGGGAAGGGCGGGGTATAAATAATAAAAAATTAGTATTATTATTAATGCCCGCTTAAAAGCCATCTCAAAAAAACCACACCCAGCTTTATTGCGGCCCACAGACCCCAAATACACAGTTCAGCGATAGTACATATCAGCAAAAAAAAAAAATCCTTCCAGTAGCACCTTAAAGACCAACTAAGTTTGTTCTTGGTATGAGCTTTCGTGTGCATGCACACTTCTTCAGATACACACATCTGAAGAAGTGTGCATGCACACGAAACCTCATACCAAGAAGTAACTTAGTTGGTCTTTAAGGTGCTAGTGGAAGGAATTTTTTTTTGTTTTGACTATGGCAGACCAACACGGCTACCTATCTGTAACTACATATCAGCAGTTATTAAGGTCATCTACAAGAGGGAGAATCCCAATACAGTGGTACCTCGGGTTAAGTACTTAATTTGTTCCGGAGGTCTGTTCTTAACCTGAAACTGTTCTTAACCCGAAGCACCACTTTAGCTAATGGGGCCTCCTGCTGCCGCCACACAATTTCTGTTCTCATCCTGAAGCAAAGTTCTTAACCCGAGGTACTATTTCTGGGTAAGCGGAGTCTGTAACCTGAAGCATATGTAGCCTGAAGCATATGTAACCTGAGGTACCACTGTAGATTATTTTATTCATTTAAAAGCTGTTTTAATTGACTTTCTTTAAAAAAAACAAGAAAAACCTCGTAAGCGGTATACAAAAATAGCATTAAAACAGCACGATAAAAGGAAGAGTTCTGAAACATCAAGGTCCAATCTCTGGGGTCAAGCGATGCCTCCAGCAGTTTGGCAACGGGCCCCTCTCACACCAGAAAGGGGCAATTTTGTGGGCAAAAAATAGGTGTCTCTCTGCACTCTCTGCCCCCCCCCCCGGTTGTTTTGGGGGTTTTGAGTGACAGCAATGCCAGCCTCTGACAAACCCAGGCTGACGGGATCTCCTCTCTCGCTTTTCCCAGCGAGCGAAACCCCCTGCGGGCTGTTCCTGTCTTGGGCGCGAGGAGGATCAGTTTCCTTGGCACCCGATCCCCATCTCTGACCTGTTCTGCCTGGCTCTCGCTCTCTGCACCTCGCCACCTTCCTCGCAGTAGCCGCAGGAAGAACGGGTGGCCATTCAAAGTGGAGCACAGCTCATTCTAGATGGCAGTGATTTGGGGGCAGGCTGTGGCCTGCCCTTGCCTTGCCCTCGGCTCTCGGATCCTGAGAACAGAGGCTGTGTTTCTGGGTTCCTCGGCTCCCAACCTGTAAGGGCAGGGCAAACTGTTTCCAAAACACATATACACACACACAATGGCACCAGGGCTCACTGGGCGCACCACACGCAAACATATACACACCAGCTGCCGGCCCCAGTGGCTATAGGAGGGCGTGGGACTGGGATGAAGAAATCCCGGTGCGGTTGGGAATTTCCGACTCTTGAGCATTTCAAAATAACCAGCCACCTGCAGCGCGGAAACAGGGGCAGCCCCAACCATCGCTTTGGAGCGAGTTTCTAGACCTCATGGGTCCACACCGGGGTCGGCAGCTGAGGTCTCATGCATTTACATGTTACATTATAAGTTACATGGAACCAGGCAGAGGGCCTTCTCGGTGGTGGCACCCGCCCTGTGGAACACCCCCCCACCAGATGTCAAAGAGAACAACAACTACCAGACTTTTAGAAGACATCTGTTTAGGGAAGCTTTTAATGTTTGATGCGTTGTTGTTGTGGTTGTTTAGTCGTGTCCGACTCTTTGTGACCCCCTGGACCAGAGCACGCCAGGCACTCCTGTCTTCCACTGCCTCCCGCAGTTTGGTCAAACTCATGCTGGTAGCTTCGAGAACACTGTCCCACCATCTCGTCCTCTGTCGTCCCTTTCTCCTTGTGCCCTCCATCTTTCCCAACATCAGGGTCTTTTCCAGGGAGTCTTCTCTTCTCATGAGGTGGCCAAAGTATTGGAGCCTCAGCTTCAGGATCTGTCCTTCCAGTGAGCACTCTGGGCTGATTTCCTTCAGAATGGAGAGGTTTGATCTTCTTGCAGTCCAGGGGACTCTCAAGAGTCTCCTCCAGCACCATAATTCAAAAGCATAAATTCTTCAGCGATCAGCCTTCTTTATGGTCCAGCTCTCACTTCCATACATCATTACTGGGAAAGCCCTGTTTAGGGAAGCTTTTAATGTTTGATGCCTTACTGTATTTTAATATTTTGTTGGAAGCTGCCCAGAGTGGCCGGGGAAGCCCAGCCAGATGGGCGAGGTTTAAATAATAATAATTATTATTATTATTATTATTAATAATAATAATAATAATAATAATAATTTATTCATGCATTTATTTGACAATATTCTGTGCCACGGACGCGGGTGGCGCTGTGGGTAAAAGCCTCAGCGCCTAGGGCTTGCCGATCGAAAGGTCGGCGGTTTGAATCCCCGCGGCGGGGTGTGCTCCTGTCGTTTGGTCCCAGCGCCTGCCAACCTAGCAGTTCGAAAGCACTCCCGGGTGCAATATAAATAGGGACCGCTTACTAGCGGGAAGGTAAACGGCGTTTCCGTGTGCGGCTCTGGCTCGCCAGAGCAGAGATCTCATGCTGGCCACGTGACCCGGAAGTGTCTCCGGACAGCGCTGGCCCCCGGCCTCTAGAGTGAGATGGGCGCACAACCCTAGAGTCTGGCAAGACTGGCCCGTACGGGCAGGGGTACCTTTACCTTTATTCTGTGCCACTACTCGTAAAATATACCTGAGCGGTTTGCAATAATACATACGGCAGAAAGCTAAAAGCTGAAGCCGGCAATTGTGGAAAGATGTGCACTTAACTGTCTGCACGAGGTTTCTAGGCATTTTGAGCAGAAAGACCTTTCCTCAAAAGCCTGGCCTGGCCTTACATACGAGTAATATTCACCATTGTAGAATAGGGGAGAGTTCCTCTGAGCACGTGCAGTTCTGCTGAGCAACATCTGAGAGGAGGACTGCTTTGGAGAGAGAAGGGAGCCCAGGGAGCAAGCATCCCCTCAGTGTCAAAGAATCCTATTTTCTGTTACTGATAAACTGTTCTTAATGTGCTGTTGAGGGAGAACCGGTACATATATCTTTGGAATAGGGAAGAGTGGTGGGGGAAATTGACCTTTATGTCTATTTGTACTAAATGAGGCTGAATAACTGCCATCGCGACAACATAGCGGCCTCCGCTGGCAAGGGGGTCACCCCCACAAAAAACGATGCAATATGTGGGGCATTCTGGGAAAACAAAATGGCAGCCCTCAGGAGCGGCTGCGGAAATTATTACAGCCACCACCAAACTAAAAAGGAATGTCAAATGCAGCAAAGCAAATGGGGAACTCGACAGTTTCATTTGTGAGAACGAAAATGGATAGAGTAACAAAAAGCCCATTATAAACTTCTCTGTTCATGCGCCATTCCTGATAAGACCTGGAGCCACATCGATTCTGGGTGGAATTAGAACCACCAAGGTCACTTTTTTTTGGCTGTAAAAGCGGCAACAGCGAAAAACAAGTTCGTCTCGCAGGCCGGGCGCTCTCTGCCCTGCTTAGAAGGCTCCAGGGTAACATTATCTTCCCTGTTCAAGCTCACCAAAAGTCCATTACAGTCCATGAAAGGCAGGCGAGTCAGCGGGCAAGAGGAGGTCTCTGTTACAGGATCCATGGCCCAGAGCCATTTGCTCAATCGTTAATAAACTCCGCGCCGAGAGATCAGGATACGGACAGGCGCCAGGCCAGGTGTGTGTGTTTCTGGATAATCATTTAGCATTTAGGGGTTGGTGGAGAGGAGAATGAGAGACGAACCACCTCGAAAACGAAAATTGTGCAGCTGGAAAAGGGTTCAGGAAAGGGCAAGCAAAACAACCGAGGCGATGGAGAAACGGGACAGGTTGCAACATTTGGGGCTTTTTAATTTAGAGGGAGGGATGCGGGTGGTGCTGTACGCCGGCTGCCTTGGCCAATAAAGCAAGATGAGCGCTGCAACCCCAGAGGTTTTTGCTTGGATGGGACATGGGTGGCGCTGTGGGTTAAACCACAGAGCCTAGGGCTTGCTGATCAGAAGGTTGGCAGTTCGAATCCCCGCGACGGGGTGAGCTCCCGTTGCTCGGTCCCTGCTCCTGCCAACCTGGCAGTTCGAAAGCATGTCAAAGTGCAAGTAGATAAATAGGTGCTGCTCTGGTTCGCCAGAAGTGGCTTAGCCATGCTGGCCACATGACCTAGAAGCTGTATGCCGCCTCCCTCGGCCAATAAAGCGAGATGAGCGCCGCAACCCCATTCTGCTGTGTATTCTTTGAAATTCTTTAACGTACCCCTTATGGGTACATATGCGTACAGTGGTGCCTCGCAAGACAAAATTAATTCGTTCCGCGAGTTTTTTCGTCTTGCGAAGCACGGTTTTGGAAAAGTTTTGGAAAAGCTTCAAAAATCACCAAAGTCTTCAAAAACCTCAAAAAAGGCTACCACACCGCGTGCTATGAGTTGCTCCTCGAAGTCAAGTCGCAACTGTATTAACGGTTTTAAGAAAAAGGAAACAAACTTGCAAGACGTTTCTGTCTTGCAAAGCAAGCCCATAGGGAAAATCGTCTTGCGAAGCAACTAAAAAAACCAAAAAACCTTTCGTCTTACGAGTTTTTCGTCTTGCGAGGTACCACTGTACCACACTTTAGGAAACACTTTGGGTGACCCGTGGTCTGGTTCAGTAGAAGGCAGCTTCCTAGGTCCTTACCTCAGCAATGTCTGGAAGGCCTTTTGTGTGTTCTCAGAGGCACTCTTGTCCCTTGGAGCACTTCATTTCATGGAGGCATGACTGGAAACAAAACGTTAGTTGCTTTCCATATGACCCCCTCCAGCAGTGCGAGCCAAAGGTCTGTGTTGCCTGTGCATTCTAATGCGTGAGATCCTGTTTCTTATGCTTTCCCCCCTCCAAGCAAAACTCCACTTAAAAAAAATTAATAATGAAAGGAAGGAGGATCAAATTCAGTGATTTCATAGATTCTAGAGTTCCTGTCTACTGTACTTCCCTATAACTCCTTGTGAACATTTTGCTGACCATATTATTCCTCACCTGCCGAAAGATGGTATCTGTGGTTGGAAGGGGCGTGAACTGATCTATGTTTCATGCATTCAAACCGTTTTTAACAGGTAGCGAGAGTTGGGAGGGCCTGTTGTCTCAAACCCTGACTGGAAAATCGCTGGCAGTCTGTGCAGGTAATACTGAGCTTAAGATAAAGGGACCCCTGACCCTTAGGTCCACTCATGGCCAACTCTGGGGTTGCGGCGCTCATCTCGCTTTATTGGCCGAGGGAGCCGGCGTACAGCTTCCGGGTCATGTGGCCAGCATGACTAAGCTGCTTGTGGCGTACCAGAGCAGGACAAAGTAACGCCGTTTACCTTCCTGCCAGAGCGATACCTATTTATCTACTTGCACTTTGACGTGCTTTCAAACTGCTAGGTGGGCAGGAGCAGGGACTGTGCAACGGGAGCTCACCCTGTCGTGGGGATTCGAACCACTGACCTTCTGATCGGCAAGTCCTAGGATCTGTGGTTTAACCCACAGCACCACCCACATCCCATACTGAACTTAAAAGGTAAAGGGACCCCTGACCATTAGGTCGAGTCGTGGCTGACTCTGGGGTTGCGGCACTCATTTTGCTTTATTGGCCGAGGGAGCCGGTGGCCAGCATGACTAAGCTACTTCTGGCGAAGCAGAGCAGCGCACGGAAATGGTGTGTACCTTCCCACCAGAGCGGTACCTATTTATCTACTTTGAGGTGCTTTTGAACTGCTAGGTTGGCAGGAGCAGGGACAGAACAATGGGAGCTCACCCCGTCATGGGGATTCGAACTGCCGACCTTCTGATCGGCAAGCCCTAGGCTCTGTGGTTTAACCCACAGCGCCACCAGCGTCCCAAATACTGAGGTTAGTGGACCTTTATTTCTAATGTGGCCAGATCAACAGACAGGAGAGAAGCCAGGGAGAGCAGCTGCAGCTTGAACTTCTTCATTGACAGGCTGCAGTTCAACAGGTAAAGCGCCATACATCACTGCATTGCCCTGCGTGGGGAAAACTGCGGTTGTTCACACCCAGTCTCTTCCACGTAGCAAAAGGAAACGCACCAGGCTAGGAAAAAAATTGCAGGTAAAAAGTCTGGGAGCGGAAAGGGGCGGGGAAACATGGGATGGGGCGTGGCCAGGGGTGTGGCCTATCTGCGATGAGCGCGTGGCTGCATGAAGGAGGCGGGGCTATTGCCTGCCTGGTGGTTATTGTGGCCCGCCCCCTATGCCCAGATTGATCTATTTGTGCTGGGAGTGGGGGGGGGATACTTGGCTTGTACCATTCGAAAGAGCGCGAGCGGCTGCCTTCGTCCCTGAAACCCACGAAGCAAGCAGCCCGCTGCCCCGCTGGCTCCCCTGCCTTTCCGCCCATTCCTCCCGATTTGGTTCCTCCCTCCACCCCCCCTCTTTCCCGCTCCAACATGGCCCGCTCCGATTTTGACGCATTGCAGGTGAGAGGCGACCAATGGCCGCGGCAGTCTCAGCCTGCGCCTCGCTCTCCCAGCCAATGGGGGCGCGCGACACAAGTGCGCCGTCACAATACTGTGTCCTTCCGCTCGAAGGCGGTTCGAGGGAGGGGCGGACGAAGAGAAAAAGCGGCGGCGGGCGGAGAAAAAAAAAGAGAGAGGAAAAATAGTCCCCCTCTGCTTCCCCCACCCCACCCCGCAAAGAGGAGGGGAAGTGGGCGGGGCTTGCGCGGCGGCCGAGAGCAGCTCAGGCGCGCGGAATGCGGGGAGAAGGAAGGGGGCGGGGCGCTTCCCTGGCGGCGGTTGGCGGAGGGATCCCTCTCGCGCCGTGTGTGTGCGTGAGGCGGCCCGCAGCGGGTTCCGGCTAGTGCTGCTCCCACCTCCCTTTCCCACATCGCCGCCGCTGCTCCGCGAAGCCTCTCGACGCTCTAGCTGCTGTCGCCACCCGGACCCGGCCATGGTGAGGGGCGCGGAGCGCCTGAGGGGTTAATTGAGGAGGGGGGGTGGGGGCGAGGGGGAAAGGGTTAATGGAGGGGGGGTCTTCAGGGGGGCTGTATGAGGGGGGAGGGGGCCGAGGGTCTCTGAGGAGGGGGCCAGGTAAGTGCCCCATTGATTTTATTGTGTGTGGGGGGGTGTTAATGGGGGGGGCAGGGGAGAAATGGCTCCAGTGAAATGGCTGTGTGGGGGGTGCAGAGTCAAATAGGGGGGTATTTGGGGTGCGTGAGACGGGGGGGGGTTCACCGCACTGCAGGGCACATGGGGGGGGCCGGCGCGTGCAGGTCCTGGGTTGCAGATGGGGGAGCACTGGATGGGGGAGGTTTTTTTGGGGGGTGAGCGAATGGAGGTGAGGAGGAAACAGATGTGGGGAGGAGGGGGGCCGTTTGAGCGCAGCTTTCGGGGGTGCCAGCTTGACTGCAGGGGAGGGGTTTTTTGGGGGAGGCTTAGGACGCCCCTCCTACGGAGTGAAGGGGGGTGCAGTGAGCATTTGGGGGCTGGGACGAGTGGGGCAGCGAGAGAGGCGGAGGCTGATCTCATTCCCCCCTCTCTCTCCTGAGCTCTCCTTCCGAAGAAGCACGAAGGGGAGAGGCGAAATGTGATAAGATGAGCAGTGTGTGTGTGTTTGGGGGGGGTTGTTGATGCTGGGGGGGGGTCCAGGGGGTGAGGCTGTGGGGAGCGGATGGGGCGCGGAGAAGGGAAGAAAGCTGGGAGGAAGTGCCCTGGATGCTGGGTTTTCCAGAATAGCTGGCTACCTGGCCGGTTAGGTTCTTGGGCAATTGGGGCAAGGAGCAGGTGGCAAGGTTAATGGGAGTGGAGCCGAAACGCAGGGCTCGGCTCAGGTGTGGATGTGGTTTCAGGGAGCTTGGGGTGGGAGGTGATGTGGGGTTGGCATCACCACAGGTACTGAACAGAGGAGGTGATGGCAGCAGGGGCACTGGGCGGAAGGCCCACCTGGCTGGGGGATGTCATGGGGCAGGAGGGCGGGTGGGGCTGGAAAGGGTAACAGCTGATCATCACAAGGCCTTTGGCAAGAAGCCGTTGAGGGTGTTTGGATCTGCCCTTCAGGAGTACTTTGGGTAGGGGTCTTGTTTCTGGAGATGTTCTCTTGGGTAGCAGCGCTGTAAGGCTGCTGAATGATGTTGCTGAGAGTGGGACACTCGAGGGCCATGGGAAATGGCTGGAGGTGATTCGTTGAAGGGGATGTGTGGGAGATGGCATTTTGTAGCCCATTGTTCAGAAGCCGGCAGACAATGAGCCTTTGTGGGAGGTGGCCATGTAGAGTATCTGGTGTGAGATGAGTGAATGGTGGTCGAATTCGAGGAAGTGGACTGACAGGACCCTCAAAGGTCAGGCTGGTGTTTCTAGGAGTGGAAGATCTAATAGGCAGAAAAGATAGGGGGAAGCATATTGAGAGCGTTATGATTTGAAGAGAGAATGCATGGAGTTGATGGTCTTTTGAATGGTCTCCTCATAAGCTGTGTTGGGGCTGGAAATGGCGGGGCTGGGTTGCTGATGAGAATTCACTTTCCATCATCTAGAAGAGCAGAGAGGCTTGTCTTGGGGATGCAGGAGAACATGGGTGTGGATCCTGACCAATATATTTGAGCTGTCTTCTTGATGAAGGTTTTATTGCCTGCATGTCCTTCTGTTCCATGAGGCTCCTGGTGGTCTGCTTTCCAGGTTACTGTTTAGCTGCAGCATCTGATGTTCTCGTGCACTGGGCCTCAGAAACCCCTTTGATTTGCCTCAACAAGGAAATTGACAAACTCCTGACTCAAACAAAAGCATGGAAGTAACCATTCCACTCCGTGTCTCACCTCTGACTGGCTTTGGGGGGAAGTGGGGAAGCCATCCAACACGATAATTTGAAATGTAGTGGGGTAGTTCTGGTCTAATTGCAGCGTGACAAACAATTTGGCAAGAAATAATAGTGCGAAGACTACTTTGTAGTCTGGTGATGAGGAGAGGGAATCCTGGGGACCTTCGGGATGCTTGGAGAGGAGCCATAGTTCAGTAATAGAGCCACATGCCTTGCATACAGAAGGACCCATGTTTTAGTCCCTGGCATCTCCCAATAAGGCTGCAAGAGACTCCGGTCTGAAATTCTGGAGAGCCGCTGCTTGTCAGTGTAGACAGTACAGTAGCCCAGGTGTAAAGCACAAGGTTTGGTGTCTCAGTATTACAGGGTCACTTGTCTGTGGGTGGGAAGAGTGCTCGAAATGGAGAAAGAACGCCTTTAAAGAGCCACCCTCCTGTAATGAAGCCAGGGGTCCTTCTAGTTTTGATCTTCCTCTCCCTGCTGCAGCTTCCGGCGCGTGGATGACGCACTAATTCCTTCAGTCCCTTGCTGGAGCCTCCCTCAGCCTGTTGCAATATAGAAGAGTGGCTTCCTGTTTGAGTCTGCATTTCCCTCTGGCGGCTTGGCTTATCCACCAGAAGCTATTAGATTATTATTTTCATGCTGGCTGCTCTTGCCATGCTAACCTACTTTCCAGAGCATCTTTCCCAGGCCATCTAGATTGGCTACCCTGAAGGGCCACCATCTCTCTTTCTCTTCTCTCTAGCAATTATTGAGATGTAGGCCATCTTAAGCAATGCTGAAAAGGCCAGTGAGATTTTTGGGGGGGGGGTAGCATGGTTTGATTGGGGAGGGGGATGAAGGCCAGGACTGTCCTTCCTTGATCTTACCACGGCCTTTGGTCTTCTGTCCTGTAGGGATGCCATTATAAATGCCAAGCCACTTCTGAAGGCTGATTCTGAAGAGCAATGCACTTCTTCTTGCTCTTTGCATTTCCCTCTCGTCTAGCAGACCCTGTGTAGCTTATGCGATCTGACAAGTTTAGACAGGGATGTCAGAGTTCAAGCTTTTGCCCTGAAGAAATCTTTGGCCAAGATGAAAGTCAGGTGGCTGTTCTGACCCCCTCCTGCCCTGTTGCCCCTAACAGTTCTGTGCCTGAGCTCAAAATGAGGATTTTTTCCTCTCTTGGCTGGGATGTGGGTGGTCCCACCCACCCTTTCCTGCATTGATGTGACCCTTTGTGGTGCAGTGTATTAAAACCTTCCCCAGATCCTCACTCTCTGTCGCTGCATTGGAAGTGCTTTATCATCCTTGTTTCCTTTTCTGACAGTAGAGGGCTCCTAGGTCCACTGCAGTCTGTTTAACTGAGCCCCTGTTAATCCGGGGTAGCATTAGTTTCTCTGCAAAAATACCTCTAGCTCTAAAGCCTAAATGGGTCCGTCCCCCCCAGAATGGGGCGTGGGGAGGACTTCATATGGCTGCATCTGGACTTTCATTGGGGGCTTTCCTTCCTCTCCCCCCCCCTTGCGGGCTTCGCCCTTCTGCATGTTGCACCCTTGGCAGTCCTTGGTGATATCTGCATTTTACAAGGAGCGACTCTCAGGCGGTATCAGGTTTGCCTTGTATCTTCTGCTCTGGCTCTCGCTGTGCTGCAGTATTGGACTGGCTGGGACTGCAGTGAAGGCTGGAGTCCAAGCAATCCTCGTGTTTTGCAGCTCTTACTTCCAAAAGCACTGAAGTAGAATGTTAAAACTCCTTTTTTTAAAACAAGTGCACCGTAATGGGTGTGAGCTGCAGGCTGCTTCTTAGCCAACGCAGAAGCATGATGGAATGGTGCAGCCAACTTGAGCAAGGCCAGGAATGCGGCAGAGGTGCTCTTGTCCAGGATGTCAGAAGTCCCATGATGTGGTAATACAAAGGTGGAAATGTGCCTCACTTCCCCTTGGAATCCACTTTACTCAGTACCTGTACACTGCTGATAAACACCCTCACTTCTCCTTAGGCCAAGATTTTTGCATTTCTTTTCCCACCATTCTTCTGAGATATTAATCATTCTCACCACAATACTGTGACATAAGGTAGGCTCAGTTATTGACTTGCCTACGGTCACCCATTAAGTGCCATGGCTGAGTAAGGATTTGAACCAGTGTCTTCCTGATTCAGTTCTTGTCATCCCAGAGCCCTACATTTCTGTAATAACATTCAGCCAGAAAACTGCCTTCTGAATGTTGCCTTATTTTAAGGAAGAAGAATACTGGTTAGGTTCAGCCACTGAATGCTCAGATCGAGTCGTGGATCCCAACAGAAATGAGTCTGCAGTGTTGCACTGTCTGTCCTTTTTTTTTATCCTGCCTTTCCTTCATTCTGGGGCAGCTTAGCATAAACCCGAAGACAAAACATTAATACGGTGCAAATAAAAATCAGTAAAACCACATATTTGCAATATAAATACAACGAAACAGCAGAAATAGGTTATCTGTGTCTAAAGGCATGCCATTTTGGGTTTCATTTCTGAAAGCATTGTAAATATATAAAAGGATGTCATATAGAGGAGGGAGAAAGGTTGTTTTCTGCTGCTCTAGAGAAGCGGACACGGAGCAATGGATCCAAACTACAAGAAAGAAGATTCCACCTAAACATTAGGAAGAACTTCCTGACAGTAAGAGCTGTTCGACAGTGGAATTTGCTGCCAAGGAGTGTGGTGGAGTCTCCTCCTTTGGAGGTCTTTAAGCAGAGGCTTGACAACCATATGTCAGGAGTGCTCTGATGGTGTTTCCTGCTTGGCAGGGGGTTGGACTCAATGGCCCTTGTGGTCTATTCCAACTCTATGATTCTATGGGAAATGGGAAGAAATCATTGCTTTGAGTTCCTTTTCCAGTTCTGTTATTTCTGGCTGTGTAAATGGCCACCAACATATCTTGTGGCAGTGAATTCTGTACTTGATGGTCAACCTAGCTAATGACCCCACCCCTGTGGCTTTTTTCCAGTCCTTCCTGCATGAAGCAGCTGGCGCTGTTGGTCTCTGTCTGCACCTTTTGCCGTGCATCTGCTCTCTGGTCATGATACACTGTGGCTTAGATTGCAGAACCTGACTTGTGAGAGGCCAGCGGGTGGGTGGGTGCTGCCACCGCTCCTGAAACTGGCATGGCTTCAAGGGCCTTTTGGTGCCTCCTGTAAACATAGGCATGATGCAGAAGGGGGCTGGGCGTGTCTAGCTCAGAGCAAAGGTTGGGGGAAGTGGGCTTGAGAGGGTTAGGCTTAACTTCTATGGTATTTCAGCAGATGCTGTAAGTTACTTGATGAAGAATCCAGCCACCTAAAAAAAGAAATCTTCCTGACCTGCTCTTGATTATTTATTTGCTCCTTCCTGACAATTTTTGAAAGCCAGCAGAAAGAGGAAGGAGAATGTTATTTCACTAGGGTCATCCCTTTAAAGAGGACACAATCCACTTGGTCAGTGCTCAGCAAAGCAGGCATAGATTGGCTGTTGAGGGGTTTAATGAAGCGGTGTGGTTCAGGACCCGCCTATCCTGCTCTGAAACATTTAGGTTTCTGCATGTGACTTAAAATCGTAGCACTGTAGAGTTGGAAGGGACCACGAGGGTCATTAGGAGAACCCCCTGCAATGCAGGAATCTTTCGCCCTGCTTGTTCCAATGATGCAGCTGTCGCCATCCACCTGCAGTTCTTCTGCATTGTGCCATATTATGGGGGATGTGCATAGCTCCAGGTTTAAGACTTCTTGGTGAGAGCCAGGGTGAAGGAAGGTAGCAATGACCACCGTAGGGAGGAAGCAATAGAATGATGGACAGGCTTAGAGGCCATGGCCTGTCCTGGTATGAGGAGTGGTGTGTTTGGAAGCCCCTTCTCACCTTCTGTGGATTGGGCTGCTGCTATCCCTGATTTGCAGAACTGAGGCTGGGGGTTAAGCCAAAAGCAGCAACATACAGCAGGTTGGCAGCAGGAGACCCTTTGGATACTGCAGGTGGAGACTGCATCCAGCTTGGTAGGTCACAAGGTGTGTGAACCTGAGCTGGGGGCTTACAGGTAATGTGGAAAATGGCATGGGCTCTGCTGCTTCCCCACCAGGGAGGCTGATAAGAGATGTAGAGAGGTTTGACTCTTCATTTCATATGTGTTTTTCTCTCCCACTTCTTTCAGGCTGACCAACTTACCGAAGAGCAGATTGCAGGTGAGTCCTCAGCACACAGTGGCAGTAAATATTAACTCGACTGGCACTGAATTGATCTGCACATTGAGGGAAGGCGAGCAGTACATCCCCTTGTCTACTGGCTTTGAAGCTGGGTTAACTACAGCTCAAACTGAGCCAGAATGCACATGGTGAGGGGCAGCTTGTGAGCTTCTTTGCAGAGAAGGAGTTCTTTTAGGAGAGATAATTTCCCCATCTGCTGGGTTTGGGTGGTGGTGTGAGGGCAAGGCCACAAAAGATCAAAACAAATCCCTGGGAAAATGTGAACAGGCTTGTGCTGCCACCAGCATTTTAGGCACTTGGGATTTCAAATACACCACCAGACTCACTTGGTCCCCCTCTCTCCCAAGTCTTTGGAATGGGGCTGGCTAGACTTCCAGGATAATCACTGGTTGCAAGTACATGATCTCTATGTAGCTTACACCAACCCTGCTTCCCCCTGCAGAATTCAAGGAGGCCTTCTCCCTCTTCGACAAGGACGGGGATGGCACCATCACCACCAAGGAGCTTGGCACTGTGATGAGGTCTCTGGGTCAGAACCCCACCGAGGCAGAACTCCAAGACATGATCAATGAAGTTGATGCTGATGGTAAGTGGCCCCAGCACTAAGGGGGCCTGGGTAGAGTAAATGATCCAAAACCCATGGCTTCTGCCAGTACTTTATGCAGAAATTCAGCGGGGGTTGCTTAGATTGGGGAGCAAGCTTTATTCTTGATGGACAAGAGGAACAGCTTACCTTTCCCACTGAGCTTCTCTGACTCCTGTGCTTAGACATCCACCCATCCCTGCTGTTTCCCTGCCTTTTGTGACTGAGAGGCAAGAGGTAGAAGCAAGAGGGATATTGATTTATTTGATCTTGCCAGACTAACATAGACTGGCCTATGTATTAAGTTGCCAATGAAAGCAATGGTGGGGACTGGTTCTGATAGGGTACTAGCTGACAGTGGAGTGGGGGATGGGTCAAGGCTTGTGATGGACCCAGAAAGTCAATAGTTGTAGTAGTAGTAATAATAATAATAGCAATAATAGGAAGTAGCACCCTATTTCCTTCCAGGGATAACAGAAGGGCACAACATGAATGTCTTGAAAATGCCACTCACTTTCTTCAGTGCATATACTGCCTTCCAAGCTGCACTGTCCAAGATGCTTAAAATAAAAACAAAATACCAACACTTGGGTAATGCCTGCAGTATCTTGAGATATTCTTTGTGATTACTTCACAGGCAGACCGTTTGGCGGCCGCTAGTTTCAGTGCTGGGGTGTGGAACTCCTTTTGTGCCATAATGTGTCCAACTCCAACACATTCCACCAGCTAGTTAGGTTCCCTTCAAGCGGGGCTTCAGTCTTCCCAGGCTGGCTTTTGTCCTAGGGTGGCTATTTGGGATTGGTCTCGGCATCCCAGTCTGCAGCTGCTTTGGTTTCTGCTGGCTTCGTCTTACTGGTGCTCATTTCTCTTTTCAGGGAACGGCACAATTGACTTCCCAGAGTTCTTGACCATGATGGCAAGGAAGATGAAGGACACAGACAGCGAGGAGGAGATCCGAGAGGCTTTCAGAGTGTTTGATAAGGTGAGGAAGTGGAGAAGAACCACCCGCCTTCTGGAGGGGAGGGAGGAGAGTGGACAGAATAATGTCTTGCATCACCATATACTCTGGGAGAATGGCAAGGAAACAGCAGTGTCCCCTTCCCTTAATCTGGAGCATACAGAATGGAGAAGGAAACACCATTTGCCAGGATAAAAGTGGAAGGTGCTGCCTAGCTGTGCTGCTCCCTGCTAAACTGATTCCTTTGCTTCCAGGATGGGAATGGCTACATTAGCGCAGCAGAGTTACGCCATGTGATGACAAACCTAGGGGAGAAGCTCACTGATGAGGAGGTGGACGAAATGATAAGGGAGGCAGATATTGATGGGGACGGGCAGGTCAACTATGAAGGTGAGTCGGGGATGGGATCAGCATCTTGCCTGCCGCCGTTTTGGCAGCCAGAACGTTGCATGAAAGAATTGAGGTTCTGCTTCGGCAGAGGGTCTCTAACTGTATGGGCCCTCTTCTGGTTTTCAAGGGCCGTAATTGTGTCACAGACTTCAGCCATCTGGGTGGCGTGGAAGCACCGTAACCATTTTTATATATCATTGTTGAGGGGGAGATGTTTTGAGCTGTGTGGAAATAACCCCAAATTTAATACTCCCGAGTCCATCAGTGAGGTCCACATATATGCAGAACGTATTCAAAGGCTTTGAAGTTTCCTTTTTTTTTACAGGCCTTGGCTGGATAGAACCAGGGCTTTCTTAGCCCTTCCCCTCAAATCTTGATGGTACTATTCTGGGGATTTTTCTTTGCTTCTTGAAGCCTTCACACATTGTTCAATATAGCAGGGTACACATTAAGGTCGTGTTCAGTGGCGGGGGTACCCTTGACTTTCCCTCTGGTAGTTTTCTCTGGATGAAGGCATTATGAGAGTGGAGCCAACACAGTTCACAGCATTATTACAGCTCTGTTTGCTTTTATCTTTTGAAAACTACATCGAGTGTAAAAGTCGAATCATGTCAAGCCGAAGTAACTGTGACCGCTGACTGGGCTGATGTCTAGGGAGCTTTTCGACTAGGTGATCTCAAGTCTTCCAGCTTCAAAGGGTGTGGGCACCGCCGTACTGACTTTGCTTCCTTACACTGTGTCTCTTGCAGAGTTTGTGCAGATGATGACTGCAAAGTGAAGCCCGCAGAGTGGGTGGCTGGCAATGCCCATTCTCCTTCGATACTTTTCTCCAACACACTCTCTCTACTTAAGTAACCTGGTTCTCTAAGCAAAACAATCGGCTGTGGAATAAATCTGACCAAGCAATTAAAAAGAAAAAAAAAGAAACTCCCCAAGCTGCATGATTGCACTCATCTCTCCCTCCTTCTTCTTGCTCTCCCTCCTTCCCCCTCCCCGCCTTTCCTTCCTTCCACCTCTTCTGGTGCATACCCCCCAAAAAACCTCCCTGAGAACCTCCAACCTTGTGGATGTCTTTTGTTTCCATCGGGTCTTCTGTTCTGCAGCCAGAGCTGGCCTGTCTCCCAGGGCGCAGATATCTTTCTCTTTCTTTCAAGAATCCACACGATGGGGGTGGAGAGAGCGCAAAAACCTTCTTAATCGTGTTGCATGTGTCTGGCACTGTGGTCGTGCGCATTGACATGGCGGTTGCCACTGAAGGTCTTGCCCCAGGGAACACCGAGGAGGGGTACAAGGAGGAAACTGGGTTGTTGTTTTCCCCCCCTTCGTTTTCGTGGGAGGGGGGGCACTATCCCACCGCCGGGGTGCCTGTGGCTGAAGGCGGGTTCCAGAGAGCTCCGTCAGCATGATGTGGGGAGAAGAGGCTGTTAAAAAGAGGGGGAGGGGGGAGCGTCCGACAACTGTCCGATTGGCTCTTTAAAGAAGAAAAAAAAACCACGCAAAACCGAACCAACCGCCCATAATTTTAACTTCTGTCTTTGTTCTTAACCTTGTATAAATTGTAAATGTCCTTACAGTTTCCTAAGCATTGTGTCCAGACATTGGAGCTGCTATGTAAATACCTGATGCTACAGGCCCCTTTTGCGGGGAGGGGGGGTCGCCCCGCGTATGGCGACGGCGAATGCTTTTGATTGGCAGCTTGAGGGGTTTGGGGGGGGGAGGCGTCGGAACGGAACCGCAATAAAACAGTGAAGCCGCTGCTGAGTGAATGCCAACTGCGCCAGAACTCCCTCTTCTCCCTCCTTCCTCCTCCCCCCCCCCCCGCCTTCCTCATGCGACGCTTCATTTTTTTCGTAGTGGCTCTCTCGGTTTTAACGCTTGTGCCGCACCTTTGGCTTCAGTGTCTGTGCTCTTTCAATGTTGCTTCCTTAACTCCGCCCGTCCCCACCCGCCCCGCCCCCTTTCTCGCGGCAAAACAGCATGGGCCGCAAACTTGCTTCTCTTTACTTTTTTCACTTTTATTTTTTAATCCAAAAAAAAATAAATAAATAAATAAAGAAGAAGAGAAAAAAAAACCAGTTTTGGAGGGGGAATCGAAACAGAGCTGCAGAATTTCCCTGAAACCGGGTGAAAGAAGAGTGCTTTGCGCAGTCCGTGGCGGATTTGACCACGCCCCCTCTTATTATTATTTCCTGTCTTCTGCACTCCTGTGTTGAGCAGAGGTGGAGGGATCTCACCTGAGAACTTAGGCAGGGGGCGTGGGGAAGGTTGGAGCAAGAATGTCTTTGAAAGCAGGTGGTGTTGTGTTCAGTTCAAGCTGTGAAAATAAAATTATATCAATGTTTTCCAATAAAATGCAGTGACTACCTGAAATGGCTGTGTTTGCTTTGATATTCCCTGTCCCTTTAACTGGACCGCCTCGTTCAGTTGTTTTGTTTCACAGTTGCTGGATGTGAAATGATGTGAGTGTCTCTTTTCCCCATGGGCAAATGCAGCAAATTCCCCTTGGGGAAACTTTTTGAAAACAAATTAAATTGGTAAGAGCTTTCCTCTGAAGGTTGTAATCGCTGAGCCACTTCCATGGGCTCCTGGTATAAACCTGGAGCTACTTGTGTTGGAAAGCATCATTTGACTTAATTGCTTTGAGCAGAAGCAGCCGCGTTCTTTATGTTGCTTCCATTGATCCTGGGTGGGCAAAGGAAGGAAATGGAGGACAAGGGAGCCAAAAAATCTCAAAAGGAGGGTAAGGAGATTGCAAAGAAAGCTGAATGAATTCTTTGCCTCTCTCTTCACAACCAAAGATACAGGCAGGTCCCAGTGCCTAAACCTAACCTTTACAGGAGGTGAGTAAGGAACTGGGGCAGATAGTTCTGATGAGAAATGATGCTCTAAGCCTAGTAGGCAACACAAAAATTGACACAGAAATAGAAATACTTTATTGTCACTGTACCACTTGTTTACAGTAAAAGTAATCACTGTGTCCCATGGCATCCACCTGAGAGTTACAAAAGAACTCAAATGTGAAATTGCTGATATGTCTAAATAAACTTGCCTCCTCCATTCTTGAGGATTAGAAAGTAACCAATAAAACACTAGTAGTTGTTTTTAAAGGATGCAGGGGGGAATGCTGCTAGCATACTGTCTGCCCCAAGAAAACTGGTGGAAAGTGTTAAAGATAAAATAGCCAAACATAGAGAACAAGCTTCGCTCAAGCAGAGCCAGCATGGCTTCTGCAAGGGAAAATCCTGTCTCGCAAATCTATTGGAGTTCATTGACAGTGTCAACAAGTATATGGGTATAGATTGGTTAACACAGTGTACTTGCACATATAAAAGCTTTTTGACGAAGTACCTCATCAAAGACCCCTGAGTAAGCTTAGCAGTCGAGGAATAAGAGGAGAGGTCCTTTTATGGATCAGGAATTGGCTAAGTTGCAGGGAGTAGGAACAAATGAGACAATGGGGAGAAGTAGGAAGGATCAGTTTTTGTACCTGTGCTATTTAACTTCTTCATAAATGATCTAAAGGAGTGAGCAGTTCTAGGTGGCCAAGTTTGCAAATGATATTAAATGGTTCTGGATCATTAAAGCGAAAGAGATTGTAAAGAGCTCCAGGAGGACTCCCCAAAGCTGAGTGAACGGGCGGTAAAATGGCAAGTGCAACCCAAGTTAAACAAGTGTAAAGTGATAAAATACTGGAGCAAAAAAATATTAATTTCATATGCTCATGGGGTCTGAATTGGCAGTGACCCCACAAATAAAAATTTGGGGTTGAAGTAGGTAGCTTGATGAAGGCACTGACCCAGTGCGTGGCAGCTGAGGCAATTTCTATGCTATGGGTCATTAAGAAAATGAATTGAAAATACAATGGTTGATATAATGTCGTTACAAACATCCACGGTGCAACTGCATTTGGAATACCGTGTATGTTTCTGGTCACCTCACCTCAAGCAGGATATTGAAGAGTTGGAAATGGTTCAGAAAACGGCGAGAGGAAGGTTGCAGTGTTCAGGACCTTTTAGTTAAGACAAGGTGGGTTAGAGTGGACAGGATAGAAGTTTATGACACAATACATGGCATGGAGAAAATGCATAGAGAAAAGTATTTCCCATTCATAACACTGCAACTGGTGGACCTCCAAGGAGACTGAACGTTGGAAAATTCAGAACAGATACAACAATTTCTTCTCTCTACACATAGTAGGAACTATGGAACACATTCCTTCTGGAGGCAATGAGGGCCACCAACTTGGATGGCTTTAAGAGAGGATTCGACAGTTTCATGGAGGAGAGGGCTATAACTTCTCTGGTAGCTTTGATGGCTTTGCTGTGCCTCCATAAAGGTAAAGGGACCCCTGACCATTGGGTCCAGTCGTGACCGACTCTGGGGTTGCGGTGCTCATCTTGCTTTATTGTCAAGGGAGCCGGCATACAGCTTCCGGGTCATGTGGCCAGCATGACTAAGCCACTTCTGGCGAACCAAAGCACACGGAAACGCTGTTTACCTTCCCACCAAAGCGGTACCTATTTATCTACTTGTACTGGCATGCTTTTGAACTGCTAGGTTGGCAGGAGCAGGGACTGAGCAACGGGAGCTCACCCCGTCGCGGGGATTCGAACCGCCGACCTTCTGATCAGCAAGTCCTAGGCTCTGTGGTTTAACCCACAGCGCCGCCCGCGTGCCCGCTGTGTCTCCATAGCTGGATGTAATAATGCTTCCAAATAACACTTGCTGGAAGCCACATGTGGGGAGAGTTGCTCTCGTTCTCATATCCTGCTTTGGAGGGTTTTCTACGGGCAACTTGTTGGCCACACTGAGAACAGGATGCTGGACTAGATGGCCATTGGCCTGATCCTGCGGGCATTTGTGTGTGCCTGTGTGTGTCTGCATACACTTAGCTGCGGATGACCCTGTCCCATTTGCATTTCAGTGCAACATTGTCTGCAAGACCTAGAGCTGTGCTGGCTGCGGACGATGGGAGCTGGAAGTCTCTTAACATCTGGAGCACACCAAGTTGGGGGCAGCTGCCCAAGAGAGTTGATCCGCGGCCTGCGCTCTTACATTCTACACTAGCTGCCAAAACCCTGCCCCGCTGGCCACCCAGTTCCTCTTGCATGCAATATTTATTTACAGTATTTATAGGCTGCCCTAGAACACAAGTCCTCTTGGTGGTTGTCAACAAGAAGAGAAATTAAAATCCGGGAACAGTCAGAGCAGAACAGGATAGAAACACTGAAATCTGCAGCTGTTAAAATTATAGCGTGCACTTGGGGGGGGATTCTAATGCTTGTGGTTTTTGCAAGTTGCAAGAGTGGAAGATGACACCCTCTGCTGTGGAACATGGCAAAGACCTCTCTTAAAGTTGAGGAGTTCTCAGAAATACGGGTATTTGGTTACAGCTGCTCAACTGACGCCAGCTTTTTTGCTCATAGGGGGTCAGCCATGAGCTGCTTCGAGGCAGAATCCCAGTCGCCCTGGATCCATAATAATAATAATTTATTATTTATACCCCGCCCATCTGGCTGGGCTTCCCCAGCCACTCTGGGTGGCTTCCAGCAATATATTAAAATACTGTACTACATCACACATTAAAAGCTTCCCTAAACAGGGCAGCCTTCAGATGTCTTCTAAAAGTCTGGTGGTAGTTGTTTTCTTTGACATCTGGTGGGAGGGCGTTCCACAGGGCGGGTGCCACTACGAGAAGGTCCTCTGCCTGGTTCCCTGTAACTTGGCTTCTCGCAGTGAGGGAACTGCCAGAAGGCCCTCGGTGCTGGACCTCAGTGTCCGGGTAGAACGATGGGGGGTGGAGATGCTCCTTCAGATATACTGGACCGAGGCTGTTTAGGGCTTTCAAGGTCAGCACCAACACTTTGAATTGTGCTCGGAAACATACTGGGTGTAGGTCTTTCAAGACCGGTGTTATGTGGTCTCAGCAGCCGCTCCCAGTCACCAGTCTAGCTGCCACATTCTGGATTAGTTGTAGTTTCCTGGTCACCTTCAAAGGTAGCCCCACATAGAGCGCATTGCAGTACTCCAAGCAGGAGATAACCAGAGCATGCACTACTCTGGCAAGGCAGTCTGCGGGCAGGGAGGGTCTCAGCCTGCGTACCAGATGGAGCTGGTAAACAGCTGCCCTGGACACAAGAGTTGACCTGTTCCTCCATGGACATCTGTGAATCCAAAATGACTCCCAGGCTGCGCACCTGGTCTTTCAGGGGCACAGTTACCCCATTCAGGACCAGGGAGTCCCCCACCCCTGCCCACCCCCTGTCCCCCTAAAACAGTACTTCTGTCTTGTCAGGATTCAACCGCAATCTGTTAGCCGCCATCCATCCTCCAACCACCTCCAGACACTCGCACAGGACCTTCACCGCCTTCACTGGTTCTGATTTGAAAGAGAGGCGCATCCATTCATTGCACTTAAACCCCACTTAGCTGGAGGTGTCCGAAAGCTGCTCTAACCACTTCACCATCCTGGTTCGGGATCAAGTTTAAGTGTTCCTATACTTTGCTTTTACTCGCATACATACCCACCCTTGCTGGAGCCCTGTGTTCTGTTGCTAAGGTGGATTTGTCTCCCAACTGGAATGGGTGCTGAGACGCAATGGGAAGCCCTCTCTTGAGAGAAGTTAAGATGATGCCTCTGATCAGCACTTCCACTGTTCAAAGATGCAGCGGATTGACTTGCCCTGGAAGATGCTGTTTGGAAGGAGGTGGGGCCAGACCAGTGACTCTCAAAGCCTCCTTTGATGGTACCCTCTTGTGGGAGCCCCTGAAGTTCTTTCAGCACACTTCTCAGTTGTTATCCTTGGCAAGCCTAAGTCAGGGCGATGTCTTTTCTGCTCCCCCTTTTTAGTGGTTTGGTGTTTTCAAACATGGGGCCCTCTAGATCAGCGTTCCTCAAACTTGGGTTTCCAAATGTTGTTGGACTACAGTTCCCATCATCCCTGGCCATTGGCTAAGCTGGCTGGGGATGATGGGAGTTGTAGTCCAACGACAGCTGGGGACCCAAGGTTGAAGGACTTTGCTCTGGATTCTGATGCCCATCACCCCAGGCTATATGGCCAATAGTCAGGGATGATGGGGTCTGTCTTGCACTCAAAACACCTGTTGTGAAAATGAGTATTTACTTACAGTATTTAGAGATGGTTTCATTATGCAAACATCAAACTGGTGTAGGATAGAGCACAGGATATGATAAATATAAATTCAAAGCAAGTGAAACAGCAGCATCTAATAAATGATAACCTGTGGCTAGGTTCCTAGTCCTGAATTGTTTGGATCTACAGTGTAAGAATGAGACGCGGGTGTCGCTGTGGGTTAAACCACAGAGCCTAGGCCTTGCTGATCAGAAGGTTGGTGGTTTGAATCCCCGC